GTAAAAATGTACTAATTGTGGACTTGTTGAAATCAGGTACGTCAGATCTAACTGTAAATCACAGTATAGCATACCAGCCACCATTTAAGGGTGAAGCATGACCGGCTCTAGCTGAGGGGCCGTGCTGCTGGCGTCAGCGGGTCGGGCTAACGATGCTTTAACACAGTGGTTCTCAAACAAGAAATAGACTATTGTCGACAGTGGCGAGGAAAGACTACTTAAATTTCAAGTATTTACGTGCCTTCTTCAATAATTTCACAATTTTTTGCCGCGACTCCCCTGATATACGATCACGGCACCCCAGGGTGCTTCGGCACCCAGTTTGAGAACCGCTGCTTTATTGCATCGTTAGCCCGACCTAGTGACGTCAGCAGCACGGCCCGTCAGCTAGAGCCGGCCATGGGTGAAGGAAGGAAGAAGCAGTGTTAATTCCCGCCGTGATGTGGGACACAGTTTTTTGTTATTTTCAAACCGCGCCCGAGCTGTAGCCGGAGGCCCCAATACAACCTAATGGTTGAATGGGGTTTGGGGACTTGTGCCTGGGTGATCCTCATCCAATGGTGGATCTTTGTGACACCGGGTGTTGGTCGCTTGCTGTATGGTCCTGGTGGGGTTAAATGACATATACATACAGCAGTGCAGTGCTGCGCAAAAAAAAAAAAACAGTGATAGGCATAGTTCTTGAAGGAAGGGGTAATCGGCTGATTGAATGTTGACACTGGACTTTAAAAACAGGAGGGATTTACACACTATCTATCTCCAGCAGGCTGTGGTGGGAGCAGTTGTTGATATCAATCACTGTTGTTAACACGGAGACCATCTCATCTACTTATTGTTCACTGGCTGTAAACCATTGGAAGGTGCTGGTTCAGACTTTTTTTCTTCTTGAGAATCCTGGGGAGAATTAGTGTCAGGTAGTCATACTCTAAAAATCACTGGAGAGTTTTGCGTGCATTTTTTTTTTTCTGGTCTGGTTTATTTGTGTGTAGATTGTTGGTTCCATTGAAGAAAACGCCCAAACTAGTTTCCTTTTATGACATGCTTGTCTGGGAAGCAATGCCTGTCTCCGTCCTACCTCATCCCCTGCTCCTCCTGGATGGGATTCTGGAACCCACACAGGAAGAGACCATATAAAAACAATTCACGTTAAAGGGATCCTCATGTTTGATTTCCTGTCACAAGTACTTTTTAATTTTGTCTCCCGTAGTTTTTTTTCTTCTTTAATTCACCGATAAAGACTTTGATGAAACAGTTATTCGCTACATGTGTCTTTCTTTTCATTGAGCTTTTTCGTTGCATTCTATATTCATTCATTGTTGTTATCTTACTTTGCTAGTAGCTGCAATCATATATGAACAGATGCTAATGAAAGGTACAATGTTAGAGGGAACAGCCCGTGTAAGGTTGAGTAGATATGGAGGAGTTCAGTTTGGATACAGCAAGGAATGATTGATGAAGGAATGAGTACATGCTGTACTGCATGCAAGCAATGTGCCGTTAGAAAATCTGCATCAGCGCCTGAAGAGATTTACTGTGGGAGACTTCACCTCTTAGTATATCTGCTAAACTATGATGTCAGTTCTAAAATCCAGAGCTTGATTTTAAAGCTTCGACAAGTACAATTTCAGTAACTTTCTTCTAAAGTGTTATAATTCCGTAATTAACGCTCATTTGCATTCATTTGTTTTGCAAAGATCTAGAAGCAGAGACAGAAGATCTAGAAGTAGGAACCGAAGATCCAGAAGCCGTAGCAGGGACAGGCACAGGAGAGAGAGGGAAAGGGATCACCGCAGGAGCCGCAGCAGAGATCGCAATGTTGATCGAATCAGACCAAGACGTAGTCGCACACCTCCTCGGAGACGGCACAGCATCAGCCCAATCAGGTTTGTAGTTTACCTGAATCACTTGGCTGTAGATCTTCATTAATAGCAAGAAGCACAATAGGTCAACAACAAAAAAATGTCCTTTTTTCAAGCCATGAGACATCTTGGTTATATTGTGAAATCCTCTGCCAATAACAAATAGTAGATAATGAGTCATGTGATAACTGTCATGCCTGTTGCCTTTGCATCCCATAACTTTTTCTGGTACCCATTTTTAGGTGGTTTGTTACTAGGGGAGTTTGCATGATGACCACCCTGCTATTGTCTCAAGCAGCACTTTGAGCTTTGCTAAGTTTTTTTTTTTCACATCAATGACCAGTGCTTTACACTTTCTGCATTTTATTCTGGAAGAAATTATAGGTTGTCTACCAAATTATATGTGGCGTCCGTGGCTAAGGTGTTGCGAGTCTGACTCGTAGTCCAACGTACCGCGATCGAAACCCACTGCGGGCTGCATGGGTTTTTAATCGTGGTATGTGACGTCGCAGGTCGACCCAGCCTCAAATGGGTACCAGGATGGGCTGTACTAGGAAAGTAAAGACGACCGGCGTAATGCTGACCACATTACCCACCGAGTGCCGATTGGTCTGTAAAAATATGGGTGCTCTTCCCCTATGCCCGATGCGCCTAAAGGGCGTGTAAAAGGATCTTTACTTACTTACCAAATTATACACAACCCCCCTATCATTAACTGTCTCTGGTGTTTCTCATATCTTTTAGCTCTTCTCTGATCTCAGTGTGTATCCTGTCTGGTTCTCTTTAAGTTCTACCTGTATGTTCATAATTCTGCCACACATTTGAATTCTACCTGTGCCTGTCACAGGCATCAGTTATTGTACATTTATAGTTTATTAGGAATTATTTTCGTAGTTTACCTTAATCCAGGCAGCAGAACTCATTCGCAGTGAAGCTTTGATGCTAGATTTTATTTCAAGGACTTTTGCTGCATATCAAGAGCTGTTGTAATATTCTATGTCTAGTGGTTTCTTAGGACAGGCCATTAACTGTTGTGTTTTTATTGTTGCAGGGGTGAGCCCATTAGGCCAGAGAGGAGGAGGTAATGCTTTTTCCTGATTTTTTTTTTAAATTTTAAAGCGAGATAAAAGAGAAGCATAGAAACAGAAATTGTAAATGAAATGTAGATTTTTTCATGACTGTTTTCTAAGGTCGCCTATGCTTCACGGTCTTCATTAACTCTCTTTTCATCATTTCATTCTGTGTTTGTGTGTTTCTTTTAATGCAGTTCCTATGCTGCTGCAATGAAATAAACCCTTTCACTTTCCTCCGAAGTCGGATTACATCTGCCGGAGAGGCGGGGAACGAGTACTGCAAACAAATAAGCCAGTAAAACGGATGTACATGCAAAACTCAGGTCAATGTAAAAGCCAAAAGTCCATTTTGGACGAACAACCGCGACTTAACCGCCGGAATTCACAGCCGGTGAACAAGAAGAAGAAGAAGAACCCTTTCACCATATATAATGTTTTTGAATCGCTGAAACCTGCATCACAATACATTTGATTCTCATATCATGGGGCATATGGTGCTACATTTTAGATACTACGACAAACCTGGAGCCTTTTAGTTTTTTTTAAATATTGCAACTGTCACTGCTTTTTTGGTTGACCTCAGACACCGCAGTCTTTTTACACTTGCGGAATTGTCCCTCTGTACACTGCAAATATTGATGTTAGGTAAAATGTAAAAAGTCTAGCCGTATGCCTAGTAAGCCTGAACTCATCCGGAACACATCACATGTTGATTTATGACTAATGTAATTGTCCTCTGGTTTTGATTTATGTCTAATGTAGTAGTCCTCTGGTGTTGATTTATGACTAATGTAATTGTCCTCTGGTTTTGATTTATGTCTAATGTAGTAGTCCTCTGGTGTTGATTTATGTCTAATGTAGTTGTCCTCTGGTTTTGATTTATGTCTAATGTAGTTGTCCTCTGGTTTTGATTTATGTCTAATGTAGTTGTCCTCTGGTTTTGATTTATGTCTAATGTAGTAGTCCCCTGGTGTTGCTTTATGTCTAATGTAGTAGTCCTCTGGTGTTGATTTATGTCTAATGTAATTATTCTCTGGAGTTAATTTATGACTGTCATTGTCCTCCTATTCTTCTTCACTTCCTCTTTTACCGCTGTGGGTGTCGAGGGAGATATAAGGTTCTGTTTCTAGCTCTTCTGGCTGCCTCGACAAATCGTGCTGTTGTAGAGTTTCTCTGATGTTATCCTTCCATCTTGTTCTTGATCCACCCCGTGCTCTATGTCCTTCTTCTCTTTCCATGTATGCTTTGTATGGTATGGTGTCACAAGGCATTCTCTCTAAGTGGGCAAACCATTTCACTTGCTGTCTTTAATTCTCCTCTAGTGTCAATTTATGACTAATTTAATTGTCCAGTGGGTTGTTTTTTTTTGACTAATTTAGTTGTCTTCTTGTGTTGAATTTTGACTAATTTGATTGTTCTCCTGTGTTCATTTATAACTATTTTGCCCTCTGGTGTTGATTTATGACTAATGTAAATGGGCCTCAACGATTTGGGTGTTGAGGTTGACCAAGCCTTCCTTAAATACGTAGCAGGTAAAGTCCTGGGAAGTAAAGATGGCTAGCTTGATGCTGACCTCATTTCCCACCTAGTGCTGATTGGTGTATAAAATATAAGTCTAGCCCTGTGTGCCTGAAAGGCACTGAAACAGTCGAGGTGCAAAAGGTCCCATAATTGTGTGTGTACAGGCACCTAATGGCTTGGTCACATCGCATAAGTGTGTGCACACACTTGCTGGTTGTGTGAATGGATTAGAGGTACAATATCTGCTCCTGGCTCATGTCTTGCTCTGGGAATCAGACAAAGAGATATATATGTGGTTTTGAAAAACACAATTGGACTGGGTACAGAATCGAACCCGGGACCTTTGGGTCGGGGTCAGTGTCTAGCCATTACGTCATGGTGGCGCCCATAGCCTGCAACGCATCTGCCAATTAAAATACCAGTATGTCATTGTCAAGTATGTCATATGACACAATGTTTAATTGTGAGTGTTCTGTTTTATTTTTTTTCCAGGGAGAGAGAGCCCGAGCTGACCCCAGAAGAACGAGATATACGTACAGTGTTTTGCATGCAATTATCTGCTAGGATCAGACCCAGAGATTTAGAAGAGTTTTTCTCCTCCGTAGGCAAGGTAGGTGTATTTTCTTTTTAACAGCTTCTTTATCTGGCTTTAGATATGTTTGCAATTGGTTGAATTTTGCAGCTACAAATATTTAATTAAAGGACAGGTAGTTTACTCTCTCACCAACCCTTCCCACAGTATTACCATTCTTTGCCTCTCGTGAGTCTTAGTATCACACAGGCAATAATTTATTTAAAACAGCTGTGGAAGGGACTTGTTTTAAGATTAATTTGGTTATGCTTGGCATAAGTCAGTGCTCGGCAACTTGTGGGAAATCATTATAGAAGTCTGTTTGACCCCATATTCTACAAACAAAATGAGATGGGTGTTTTATCCTGGAGTTTTCAATGTCTCTAGCACAATGTGCCTAATGCACTTTAAAAGTATTCTTTTGTTGTTTTTTTTTTTTTTTAAACTGAATTGTCCTTTACTGTTATTGGGGCTACAAGGTGTAATCACCCAAGCAACTCTTGGCCATACCATGTTTTATTTTACAGTCCCAAGCTGTCTCTTATGCTTTTCTCCTAATGTTTTTGTTTGTTTGTCTCATTGTTTTGCCATATTGGCTCATATGTTGCCATATTTGCCATATTGCTGCTAGCCTGCTTTCTGATCCATAGACTTAGTCGAGGTTTCAACTTTACTGCCATCAGGTTTCCTGATACTTGCTCTGTTTCTGTGGAGGTTAAAATCAGATTAAATGTTCCTCACTGTCTTGTTTAAAGAAACTGGTGAACAAACAAATTAGTCCTGGAACAATCTAGACATATGTGCACACAGTACATGTAAATGGCAGTTGCTAGAGGCGCCGAAGCCAACCAGTCGCCACCAGAAATGCAGTTATGTCGTTGATGGAAGTAGTTAGCCACGATAAGTTGGCTGTACACGTATAGAACCATCACATAAGGTATTTTACCAGCTCACATGTAAACCGGCTACAAATAGACATTTCACATGAAGAACACAAGTGACGGGGCTGTACCAAGATGGCATTTCTGTTCCTATCCTGTGTCAGCATCTTTTCCTCAGCTTTTGATTGATAAGAATCTGTCTGGTTGTTACCCTAAGAACAACATTAGTGATTCTAATACGTTTGGTATCTGTGGTTAAATAGGCACACATGTTAGGTATTCTTCTTCTTCTTCAACGTTTCGATCCCTTAAGGTTCATTGTTGCAGATATCACTGCCTCCATTCATCTCTCTGGTTAGCATGTTGGGCCTGGCGAACATTAATTAATTCTGCTACAGGGTTCTTAATTACTAATATTTATTTGGCTTCTATGATTTTTCAGACTGCTGGTTTCAGTGATTTTCAAATTAGAGTTTTTTTGTTTGTTGTTGCTCTAGTGGAGTCTAGTTCGTCAAACAGCTTAAGTTAAATCATCCTATTCTCTTGGCAGTTTGTACTTCTTGCATTATTTATTCTCTCTCTCTTTTTTCTTATAAATACTACCATTAGTTTATGCCTTTTGTGTGAGGTGTGCACGGCAGAATTATTGTGCTGCAACTGTATCTTACCTTTTGTGTGAGGTGTGCACGGCAGATTAACTGTGCTGCAACTGTATCTTACCTTTTGTGTTAGGGGTGCACGGCAGATTAACTGTGCTGCAACTGTATCTTACCTTTTGAGTGGTGTGTGCACGGCAGATTAACTGTGCTGCAACTGTATCTTACCTTTTGTGTGAGGTGTGCACGGCAGATTAACTGTGCTGCAACTGTATCTTACATTTTGTGTGAGGTGTGCACGGCAGATTAACTGTGCTGCAACTGTATCTTACCTTTTGTGTGAGGGGTGCACGGCAGATTAACTGTGCTGCAACTGTATCTTACCTTTTAAAAATGCATTATTTATTCATTTCAGATCAGAGATGTTCGTCTTATTGCTGACAACAAGACTCGCAGATCTAAAGGTATCTGCTATGTCGAGTTTGCAGATATTGAATCTGTGCCATTGGCTATTGGCCTGTCTGGTCAGAAGATTTTGGGGGTGCCAATCATAGTACAGCCATCACAGGCAGAGAAAAACCGAGTCCAAGCAGCTGCAGCAGCACAGGCCGCGCAGAAATCCACCGAAGGTCCACTGAGATTGTATGTGGGCTCATTGCATTTCAACATTACTGAAGACATGCTGAGGGGAATCTTTGAGCCGTTTGGCAAGGTGGGTGAAACTAGACACCTTTTGCTTTGTTAGCTTCTTTTTTCTGTCTTTGTACTTTGGCCACATGATATACTGCAGTGATTTTTTTAAAATAATGTAAAAGTGGTTTCTTTAGTGTAGTTATGTCGATCTCCTAGACTTCAAGCTTTAGAGCAAATTAAAGATGTTATAGAAGACAGACTTGAACTAGGTGGTATAGTTAATAAAAGAGCACGTTTATCTATGTGAAAAGTGTACCCTGGTACCATCTACCCGAGACAGTCGAATGTGTGGCAATTATCAGAGCAGAATATGTGCTCTATCCACTGCCAGTATAGATTATAAGCAATTTTTTTTACAAATAATTGTGAATTGAAAAAAAAAAAAATTCAGTCGGTTGAAATCCAAAAGGAGTTTTGTTACTTGTGCTTTTTAAATGCACTGTCGACATGTGGGTTCCGGGGCCCCATAGTGGGAGAAAACAAGAATGTACTCACTGCCTCCCAGCAAGCATGTCGTGAAAGTCAACTAATTGAGAGCTTCCTTCGGAGTCGGAGTGCATCTGCCTCAGAGGCAAGGAACCAACAATCTGCATACAATAATTAAGTCATACCTGTTAAACGGGTGTGCATGCAACACTCAAGCTCTGGGACAAGGTTAAAGTCCAGAGGTGAACAAACAACCAGAACTTTCCGCTGTAGTTTACAGCCAGTGTACACAAAGAAAAAGAAATGAAATGCAGGTTTTCTTTGAAACTATTATTAAGTTTTTCTGGTAGTCGTATTTGTCCTTGGGCTTCTTCTTTTTTGACCAAAGAATGCAGACTAGTGTGGTTAATTAGTTCTTTTTTTATGAATTAATTTATATGAAGACCCTAACGCTTTATCTGATCGAGTTGTTCTCATCATTTGTCTGTAAAACTACAGATTTGCAGTTTTTTCACTAAACTGCTGACTATCCATTATTCACTTGTGTATAACAGGATTAGCTCTCTATAGCTATATATAACTTTTTGCCTCACCTGTTTACATAGAATATCATTCATTTATTAAAGCCCTAGATTTAATTGCCCGGCTTCGATCTGGATAGCCAAAACAAAAGCCTTATCTTCTGTCCTCTACCTCATTTTGGTTTCGACTGCTGCCCTATTTGTAGGTCTAGTGGAAAATATCTGTTTTCATTCATCTTTATCTCCACTACTGCCGCATCTTTATCATTGCCCCTAAGTGTGCCAGAAACATTCCCTGTAAGTAATACTAACATGAATATTTAACAATTTAGGAGGCAGACAAATGTAGTGTCTCATAGAAAGATAACAGCAAAATATAAATGTTTAAATTACTCTTTCAAAGGAAGTAATGGAGGAAAAATTCACAGGAATATATAACTCCAGCAAAAGTTTACTTTTGCTAATTTAAGTAATAAATAAAAGAAATGCGCTTGAAGCTGACCGCCAGTGGGACTGTTAAATTATGATTGCAGCCATAATTGCAGTTGAAAGTTTAACCTGTATAGTTGTCACGGATGTGGAGAGGTTAACACTTCCTTTAAAATAAACACTCAAAATACAGAAAGGGTTTGTGATTAATAAAGAAATTGTTTACAGCGCTGCTGCATTTAATGTATTTAATTGATACTTAATAACAATACTCATTCTCGTCATCCCAGTATGGGATGCAGTTTTTAGTTATTTTGAAGCCCCAGCCTGGCTTTGCAGGTGGCCAAAAATATGGCCCAACGGGTGAACAAGGTTTCTGTATGTTGCCGGGTGTTTATCGCTTGTGTGATGCCTCCGCACAGCTTACATACATACATTAATACTTCACTATGTTTTTAATGTGATTTTCAGATTGTGGACATCAAGATCATGCGGGATCATGACACTCAGCGCTCACTAGGATTTGGATTCATTACAGTAGGTGGCAGTGTGATATTTTATTGTTAGACAGACATGTTTAGGCAATAATGCACTGAAAAGCTGTCGTGTCATAAAAGTAAATATCACACCATTATTACACCAGGCACCTTTTAAAGGATCCCACAATATAGTAATCTTTGTGTAATTGTTTTGTTATATCATAAATATTACTGTATTTTTAAGTGTAGAAGAGGCTTTTATGTAAAAGATGACCCCTATTTTTTAGGACAAAAATGTTTTAAATACATTTCTTGCATTAGAAAATACCCAGTTATAAACTTGAAAAACAAAATTGGGTGAGCATGTATTTTATTCCCTGGAAATGTGGTAATTTACTATAAATACATAAAACAGTCATTTTATGACATTGGCACTCGGACATTTGCAGGTTGAATGTCAGATTTTATTACTTCGTGGGGCACCCTAGGAGCTAGCCAAGGAATTTTTTTTTAATGAGTCATTATACAGTCATTCACATCTAAATATCTATGTGTGGGTGTGCACCTTTTTATGTATAATGAACTGCTAATGCCGGAGGTAAAAACAGGTTGGCATTGTGCACTGGGAGAATACCTGTTTCAGAAATCATTGGCAGTACTTGAGACAGCTGTGTATCCACATTTAACCTTGTACCGTATGCCATACTCTGTAAAGAAGAAGATGGAACATATTCTAAAGCAGAATCCAGACAGTAATCACTTGATCATCAAGAAACAACAGGTCGAGTGGTTCTGCCAGACAGTGCACCACAGAGAGCCCTGTCACTTAGACATAATGTGTACAGACCTGGAGCCGACCACACACGTTGAATGGATGGAATCTCCTAGGCAGTAAATATCAGCATCAATATAGCACATACCAAGCTCCTGTCTGTCATCTTTTAGAAACCTGAGGCTGAAAAACAGGACAAGACTAAAGAAGAAGAATCACTTGATGTCACCGACTGTTATTTTCTTTCCTATGTGATAATAGTGGAATTGCGGTACATCTGCTACTGACATTGTGAGGCACCAGTACCTTCCACGGTACAGCTCATACCATTCCGAATTTTTGCAGGAATGGACCCCTGATATGTCAAGGATCATGCGTTGTGCAGTAGTAAAGTTAGGCCTGGGTAAAACATTCTGTTTTTGTACATTGTTCCCCTTTATGATTTGTTTTTATAACCATGTGTTGGAAAGGTACAGTTTTGGTGATTCATGCTCTTATTTACCAGGTTCAGTCGCAAGGTAGGATAGGCCAAGGGGCAAGGAACAGACTCACTCACTGGCTTTTAGTAGGACTTTTTAAACAAGTAAAGGGTTTTTCTTTCCATGCCACTAGTGCTAGACCTACATTTTAAAGACCAGTCGGCACTCAGTGAGTGATGTGGTCAGCATCATGCAGGCCACCTTTACTTCCCAGGACTTTACCTGGTACCTATTTAAGGCTGGCTCCTCAATCTGGGAGCCAAGGTCAAAATTCTGACTTCTTTTAAATCTGAACCCACAACCTTTAGATCCATCTAGCTGCTACAGCACTGCAGTTCCCAAACTTCAAAATAACACAACTAAAATATCCTTACGTTAGAACCCATGGGAGGAAGAACTAAAAATACACGAAAAAGCAAATTGCATGAGTATGGGAAGGGAGCTGCATATGGTAACCATAACAATAAGAGGGTGATAGAGAATGTGTTTTTTTTATTAAAATAGTTTTTGTTTTCTTCTTCTTCTTCGCGTTCATCGGCTGTAGACTCTGAAGGAAAGTTCTGGCTGTTTGTCCACTTTTGGACTTCAGTCCTGTTCTAGAAACTGAGTGTTGTATGTGCATCTGTGACAGATCTAACAGTTTTTGTTTTTATAATCATATCAGGGCGTGAAATGACACTTAGTGAAAGGGTGTGTGTTTTCTGTCTCATCAGGCTGTGCTTGTCACATTCTGCATGCATGCTTGACCCTGTGGCATTGGCCCAAATGAGAGCTCATTTTAGTATCATTTGTGATAACAAAAATGTATAATAGTAATTATAATCATTACAAAAGATTATAATAGTTGTAATTTAAAATAATAATTCTGTGTGGTTCTCAACAAAATAGTTCACAAATGCTGAAGATGCCAAGAAAGCTCTGGACCAGCTGAATGGCTTTGAGTTAGCAGGGCGTCCAATGAAAGTTGGGAATGTTACTGAGCGAACTGCCGAGGGTGGACAGGGAGGCGGCCACGGCCACATGGACATTGACGAAATGGATAGAGCAGGATTTGATCTGGGAGCCACCGGTCGCCTACAGCTGATGGCAAAGCTGGCTGAAGGTATGTCAGTATAAACTTTAATAAATTCTATAGATTTTTTTTTGTTTTTTTTCCCCACAAAAATTTTCCTGAAATGTTGCATTATAAATCCTACAGCTTATTGTTTGTATAAGACTTGTAGTAAACCTTGCCCGTTTCTCTGCTCTGCACCAGTAGAAGAGCTTGTGTGTTTCAATGACCCCAGGAGCAGGGTTGATGCTTATGTAACTAGTGACATGGTCTCCCAGGTCGGTCTACTGAATTGATGGGGACTAGACTAAATGAGACTTTAATCTGCCTTGACTGGTAAACAAAGTCCTCATATATTGAGTGTGCTGGGCCAGATAACACAAGAAAATTTGAGCCTGATATATTTACATTTTCTCACACTGTGGAGCACCAACCTCCTGCAATTGATGTCTGGTTGAATGTTTTTGGCGTATTTACAGTTAACGGTGTTGGCAATAGAATTCAAGTATATTTAAAAACTATACATTCTTTACCTTTGTGTTATTCGCGCTTGCTAAATAAAACAGTGGGTCAGGTTTTTTTCTAATTGCCTGAAAAATGTTGTTTTAGTAGGTGTAATCTCTCTTTATTCTTTACTTTTCTATGTAAAGGAGTATCATTGGTTTTCATCTGTGAAAAAAGGGTCTGATAAAGTTCTCTGGATTGTAACAGTTAGAGATAGACTGCAACTTTGAGTAATTTCTGTCATGAATTATAACACCAGAACAGTTATGAACAAAAGCTTCCTTGCCGTGGACAATGCTACCCTGCTGATTGCTATGGTAAACTACTGGCATCGGTGGCGAAAAGTAAAGTGAACCCCATAGAAGAGTTAATATCCAGTTAGTCACAGTTCCAGCTTCATGGCAAACCGATTACGCAGCAGCAGCAGCACATGCAGTTAATTATATAAGGCACCACCAGGTCTGTTGCGAAGGTGGCTAACTATTTTTACTGCTACCAGGTGAAGAAAACTCCAGCCATCATAGCTGTTCAGATTGCAGACATGTAGCTTGTCACACCTACTATATACAGTAGTCATGGATAGATATACCCACTGAGGGGGGCAGTCAAACAGTATGTGTGTGTGTGTACACACACACATACACATACACACACATACATACACACACACACACACACATACACACACACACATACACACACACACATACACACACACATACACACACACATACACACATATACACACATACACACACATACACACATATACATACATATATATATATATATATATATATATATATATATATATATATATATATATATATATATATATATATATATATATATATATATATATATATATATATATATATATATATATATATATATATATATATATATATATATATATATATATATACATACAGACACACCCACATACATACACACATATGCCATACCCACATATAAGTTGAAATTCATTAAACATTTCATGTTTATATACTGATAACATTGTGTCTTTTATATTTCCAACAGGCACAGGTTTTCAGATACCAGAGTATGCTGTTAATGCTCTCAATAACCTGGTTACACAGACCACTACCGTTGGAGGCATCCCCCTAAACCCGTTTTCGCCCGCACCTTTGCAAGCTGGCATCCAGTCCAACCTGGCAGCCATCCCTGGAACAGGTGTTGCTCAAGTGACCAGTGCCCCACCAATAGCCACCCAGTGTTTCATGTTGTCCAACATGTTTGAACCAGCAACGTAAGCTCGTTTTTTTCTTACATTATTTATTATGTAAGTTATATATTATTCTATACACCGGCGTAAACAGTCTGGTTGTTCATCTACTTTGGGTTTTTGGTCTCGTTCCAGAACTTGAGTTCTGAATGCATATCCATTTTTCAAATCCAACTTATTTGTGTGCCGGCGGTTGGTTCCTCACCTCTCAGACAATGCACTCTGACTTTAAAGGATGCACTCCTAATTGTGCGACTTCTGCAACATGCTTGTTGAAGGGTAGTGGGTCTATTCTCTTTTCTTCTAAAAATGGGACCCTGAAACCCGCACGCGGAAGTTATTGTGTATTAAATATTTTAATATTGCATGTACTGCTTCCCTCGGCGCTGAGGGAAGTCATGACCCAGAAATAATGGACCTCACTGCTGAGAAGGAATTCAATCATGGGGAAGATAACATCAGGATGGAAGAATTGAAGGCAGCTATTGAGAAGATTAAGCTGGGAAAAGCAGCAGGTCATGATGGTATAACACCAGAGATGGTCAAATATATGGGAGTCGAAGGTGAGCGCCTTCTACTGAAGGTTCTCCAGGCAGCCTGGTGTAGCAAAACTATACCAAAAGATTGGGAGATTGCCATCATTATACCTATATTTAAAAAAGGTGATAACAGACAATGTGAAAACCACAGAGGCATATCCCTCCTCAGCATTCCCAGTAAAAGTTACTCTAGAATTCTTGAGCAGAGACTTAAAAGTCTGGTAGAGCCACAGCTGGACGAGGCCCAGTGCGGCTTCAGAGCAAACCGAAGTACTCAAGACCTTATCTTCACACTGAGACAGATGAGTGAAAAAGCCCTGGAATATAAGAGTGAGATTCACTTATGTTTTTTAGATCTGAAAAAGGCATTTGACAAGGTACCCTGGAACAAGCTCTGGGACTGCTTTGGCAGGGAAAAACATCCCAGCACCCTGATCAGTGCAATACAGAGTTTCTACAAAAAGTGCAGAAATTATGTAAGAACAGCAGACCAAAAGTCAGAAGAATTTAAGACCACCAGCGGTGTTAGACAAGGTGATATTCTCTCACCTTACCTCTTCATTCTTATGATGGATGATGTCATCAAGACCTGTAAGGAGAAGACAAAGAAGTACTCTGTAGGGTACTGGAAGATGAGACCAATCTGTATATCAGAGCTGGCTTTTGCAGACGATGTGACCCTGATAGCTAAATCAGAGGCACACCTTCAGTCCAACTTACTTGTCTGGAAGGAAGAGCTTGAAAAGAAAGGGATGACCATCAGTGTCTCCAAAACTAAAACCATGGTGATCTCAAGAGAGGAGAAGAAACACCAGATCATGATGGGTCAGTATGCGTTGGAGCAGGTTAACCAGTTCAAATACCTTGGAGTTGTATTAGACCAAAATGGAGGCATTAAGACTGAGCTGGCTACACGAAAAGCAGCTGCTGGGAGACTCTTCCAGGCCATAAACCGAGGGTTTCTTAGCAAAAGAGAAATTGGCAAGAGGACGAAAATGGCTGTTTACCGCTCTACCTATGTACCAGTCCTGACCTATGTTGTGAGTCATGGGCAATGACAACAGCTCACAGAAGCCAGCTGCAGGCCTCGGAAATGAGATACCTGAGAAAGGTGGTCCAAGTGACAAGAAGGGACAAAGTCCGCAATCAGACAATACGTCAAGATCTTGATACCCAGCCCTTACTAACCCGAGTGGATCAGTCACAGTTACGATGGTTTGGACATGTGTGCAGAATGGGAGAAAATCGGCCACCATGGCAAGCATGGGAGGCTAAGAACCAGGGAACCAGACCTCCGGGACGACCCAGGGTGCGCTGGGAAGACAACATCCGACAGTCCCTGACTGACAGAGGACTGGAATGGAACAAAGCCAGAAAGAAAACTGCTGATAGAGACGTCTGGCGATTTCTCTGGCAAACCTCTACACCCCAAGGTAGAAGAGGAGCGACTAAGTAAGTAAGTAAGTAAGTATGTACTGCTTCACCGGTTATTTAAAAAAAAAATGGGAATACATTGTGACTGATGAAATTTCATTTAGGACATACTCTGAAGTTTAATTTGGTCCATCACATCAGAAGCGAAAAGTTTAGCAAGACCTATTTGTTATTGGTGTGCTCACCTGACAATTCTGGTGTGGGTTCTTCTGCCAAGCCTGTTGATACTTTAATGCCATGGTCTATTTGTTTGTTATCCTCAGCAACACAAGTTTAGAAAACAAACATCTATGTATCACAGGGAATCAAAGGATCCTTTTTTCACACCTTCGGGCTCATATGGCTGGACCTATGTTTTGTAGACCAATCACCACTTGATGAGTGATGTGGTCAGAATTATGCTGTCCGCCTTTACTCCCCAGCTCTTTACCTGGTACTCATTTAAAGCTGGGTTGACCTGGGAACTAATTTCATTTTTGAAAATGTCAAGCGGCGGCTGGATTTGAACCCTTGACCCTTCGGATCCCCTAGTGTAGCTGTTACACCATGGCGGCTCCCGTCACAATAAATGCTGTGCAATGAATAATATTTTTTTTAGATGTCAGCTGAATTGGCCCTTTTGGGGCATCCGTATATTAATCCACTGATTGTTGCCTACTTGTGCAGGGAAACCAGGTCTAACTGGGACCAGGAAGTGCGTGATGATGTGATAGATGAATGCAACAAACATGGAGGCGTCCTGCACATATACGTGGACAAGAACTCCCCTCAGGGGAATGTCTATGTCAAGTGTCCAAGTATATCTGCAGCAGTGGCTTCAGTCAGCGCTTTACACGGACGCTTTTATGCAGGTAAGCATCATTATTACTTGTATGTGAATGCTTGCTTTAACAACAGTTTAGATATTGCGTTTATTCAAGCATTTAATTCTTTCTCCATTCCGCACATTGTGTTGGGGTTTACAGCCAGGCTGCATTATGATATCTACGCCTTATGGCCCAATACCTCCGATTTATGCAAACCTTTATTAGTGGTGTGTTTGGGCAGTCGCTCTATTTTGTCTTCCTGTAACGGATGTGGATAAGGGCAGCCAAAGCTGATGGCCTCGTTCAGTACATGAAGAATAGATTGCACAGAATAGAATGAAATAAAAGAATAGACTGAGAGCAGTAGATCAGAATGCTGATTTAATAGAGGGAAACATAAAGTGATTAGAGCAGGGCTTTTCAACTAAGTTTACAGAGAGGTCAAAATTTGGAAAATGGGGATTGTCTCGGGCCAGAGGGCTAAACCTTAGCATAGAAAGATCATTATTACAATACAACTATCAGTGATCCGCGGGCCACTTGCTAGGCCCCCTGCGGGCTAGATTTGGCCTGCGGGTCACCAGTTGAATAGCCCTGGATTAGAGTCTCAGAAAACCATTGGTGGCAAAAATATATATTATTGTCTATGTTATGTATTATAAATATTTGTATTAATGAAACGCCTCTACAGAAATTATCACAATTGTAAAAGAAAGTCAAAACAAAGGTCTTAGTTTGAACAGTGGAGAAGGCAGAAAGAAATGGCACTACACAAAAAAAATAGTTTTTCAAAATGCAACATGAATGGGGCAAAAGTCTGAAACATGATAATGCAATTAAATACTTGGTTACTCCATTTGCAGAGTCTTCTTCTTCTTCTTCGCGTTCACCAGCTGTACACTCTGGTGAAAAGTTCTGGTTGTTCGTCCACTTCTGAACTGCAGTCCTGCTCCAGAACCTGAGTGTTGCGTGTGCATCAGTTTTACAGATCTGATTCACTTGAATGCAGACTGTTTGTTCCTTGCCTCTCAGGCAGATGCACTCCGACTTCAAAGGAAATTGCAGAGTAAACTGGACGGTTCTGCACCACCCGGTGGTAAACTGATGCCTGACAAACTAGATAGTGGGCCCTTTGGGAGTGAGGAAACAGTGCAGAGGCACAAATAGATCATGAAGAGAATAGCGCAGGGAGGAATTACCAGCTGTGGGGCCGGACAAATGTACAATCACAACTGGTACTATCTGAATTAGAAATCTGCATTTGCTACTGAAGATGGGGACGGAGTGCTTACGGCAATGTCTTGATTGCTGTGGTGTCTGCTTTTAACTTAGAACTCAGCTCTGATGGTAATTATGTGTAGAATAGCTCAAACAAAAACAGCAATTTGTAGGTTGAAAGGTTTGGGACAGGCAGTGTGATCATTGACACAACACAGTCTTGTCTTGATATCTGCTACTGGTGGTCTGATGTTGGACAAGGCACAACAGAGATCACTCTCCACAACAAGCTAGCAACACTGTTTTGTTGTCCTGACTGTTAAAGCTGAAAATCTGGATTATTACAAGTACAAATGCATTCAGTTTCAATATTGCTTGACACGTCCCTTGAAACTTGCCTCACACCCCACTAAACCACTGGTCCTGAAGCAGAAAAAAAAATATGACCCATTCTCATAATTTTGATTTGATTCAAGAACCGACATCACAGCACTTAGGGCATTCCCATAAGCGCTCCGCCCCCATCTTCAGCAGCCAGTGAAGAGTTCCGATACTAATGGTGCCTTTCCTCTGAGCCTCAAGCAATGCATCTGCTAGAACCTCTCGTCACTCCCCGCTGCATCAGTCTCACCAGACTGTGGTGATTTATCTGTTCCTCCGAACTGTACACACTCTCCCACAAGGCACTTATCACGTCTGCCTTATTATGTATCAGTATTCAACCAAGTTGTGCAGAGCCAGCCAGTCTGTCCGCCTGTTCATTTCCCAACACACCGACATATCCGGTGAAAAAATCCATACAATACTCCTCACCCGTGTCCTCCGCAGCGAAGCATGCCACTCTGCACGAAGCATACTTGTTCTGATCTTCCTCAGCATGCTTTCTGAATCAGTTACAATCACAGTGTGTGTGTCATGTTCTCTAGCCAGCGGAAAGCTGCAGTGACCGCCTCCACCTCCATTCTTAAGCTGGATGTTGTGGTATCATATGCTGGGCTCTCCTGCACCAAACGTTGACCATTAACTTTTGCATAATGTAACATTTGTTACTGTTATGCTGTTATACCTACTTAAGTTCTTTTAACTCTTAGTGTTTCAACTACTGTAAGGTTGAGAATATGTTGATGCGACTTACATTTTATGTCGTGTAACTGAGAATTGTTTTATACCTTCATTTTAACAAAAACTTTTTTGCTTTTCAATTGCAGGACGAATCATCACAGCAGCTTATGTTCCTCTACCCAACTATCATGGCCTGTTTGTTGACTCCTTGCGGGCAAATCAGTTGCTGATGCCATCCTCTCAAGCTCTCTCGGCGTCTTACCAGACTGGATTCGCATCACAGTACCCCCTACGATAACTTGAGCCTGCTGTGTATCTTGTTGGTCCGTGTGTGGTGGGCAAGTGAGGCTGTATATATGTACCTTGGTGTGTGTGTGTACAGAAAGGTTTATGTGTGGATATGTTAAGGTAATGTTTGTGTGTCTATGGTTATGTTTGTGGGAGAGTGGGTGGTTATGTGGATGCATTATGGTTTAGTTTGATTCATGCATAAAATATGACTGTATTGTTCAGATATACATAGTTAAGGAATGACACTTGTGTGAGGAAATGACGTTATTGTTGGGTTGTATATTTGTGGACAGTAGTGGGCACAGTACATCTCATTTGTGAGTGCAGAGGTGCCAGTATGTGATCCGGTTTGTTTTTACTACCATCAATTGTACCCACATATGTATGTGTCTGCTGCTGTAGTGTAGTGCTTAAACAATTCTGATTTCCACAAGTGTAGTTTCTTTTTCCACCTTGTTTTAATCAACTCATGACAAGCCCTCCGATCTTTTGCTTCAATCTCGGTTTCCTCACTGTGTTGTTGCGTTTTTGCTTCTGTGTTATTCTGTGTGTAAATGAATTTTTTTTTGCCCGTGTGTTTTCAAGTCTCACAAAGAGACAAGATTTCCAACACTGGAAGATGATTGCACATTTTTTAGGTGTGTCATGAAGAGCGGTGATACTGGGTATGTTGTGACAAGATATGGGAGAGATGCTTCTTCTGCTCTGACGAGATAAATCATGTTGTATTGTTTACTTCTAGGCTGCGATATCACAGCCTTTCACCGCAGCACATCCCAGCAAAACCGAAATAAATTACCCTTAAAGATATGCTTGTTAGAGGGCTGTGGTTCTGTTCTTTTCCCCCTCCAAAGCAAGGCCTTGGACCTCACCTGAGGAAAGGCAGATTCAGAACAACTGCTGTCAGCCTTGTCCACCTCACATTATAGTTGTATAGGTAGTTTTAAGAGTACAAGCCTCATTTCTTCTTAGTTGGTCCAGTTATTTTTCTGTAGAGATGTTTCTGATTGGCAAGATAGGGTAGCAGAAGGCCAGCCTACCTCAATTGCCTCTTAGACCTGCGTGATAGTTTCTGTCTTTGCCTCCTCCTCCAGTCTCCAGAAACACGTGGACTATATAGTTTACTGTAATATATTTTTAAAATGCTATTATGTCATTTATGTTGTACTGTAGTTTTTGTGTAATAAAATTATTTCTTGAATACTTTGTAAAATGTGTCCTTTTTTTGGATTAATTTAAATTATTGATCTTCATGTTTGCTGTCAAGATTCCTGATAAAACTGAAATCCATTAACATGCATGATAATCTTGATTGACTGATCTTGTACTGCGCCTCTCCGAGAGTTAACTCTTTCAGTTCCAGACAGAGATTTCATTAACTCATTGTCAACGTGTCAGTTCAAGTGCCCTATTGTGGAACAGCAACAAAAATAGATCCACTGTCTCCCCAACAAGCATGTCGTAGGAGTGGACTAATTGGGAGCTTTCTTTTAAGTCAGTGTGCATCTGCCTGAGAAGTAAGGAACAACCAATTGCACACAAGTAAGCCAGTAAAATAAATGGACGCGCTACCAGGACTTTCCGCTGGTTAACAAAGAAGATTAACACTGTTTTCCAAGCAGTATTTGCTGAAATAAATTTGTTGTTGGGTGTCTGAAATAATTACACTGGAATAAAAGTAAAGGCATCCGGAAAATGCTGACTGTGCTTCGTGTGGGAGTATAAACTATGCTGTCGGCATATAAGCAGACCTGTTGCAATCTCATTGAAAAAACAAAAGCTGAATGGTAGCCAGAGACGATGGACTACACAATAGCTATCAGCTAATCCAAAAGCTACCAGCCTACTGGTATACATTTTCTGACCGAAGGATCGAAGACTTTACAACACGAGAAATGTTGTAAATGAGACACCCCCATCGTCAGTAGAGAGCACAGCACAGCATTCCAGCCCTAGTGCTGCCAATTGTAGTCTGATTATACGTTTTATCTTGCTTTTCCTCTGAGTTCTGTCTAGATCCTCTGGTCATTCCCATTTGGATGATTCCTTTTAGACTGTCTTCAGCATTGATCACAAACACACTACCATGTGACATTTTTTTCCACCACCCATTGGTGCAGGACCAGCTAATCTGTGAGTTCATTTACAAACACACTGGCATTCCCTGGACAAAAGATAACTTTACCGAATGTTCATTACCCATACAAACTCCCATGGGGCCTTTACATCTGCCATGCCCTGCATTAGTTCACTATCCGTTTGTGCAGAACCATTCAATTGTGCAGCTCATTTTCCAACAAACTGGCATGTCTGAAGAAAAGATAACTTTACCAAAGGAAATAGACACACACACAAAGCAAGCTCAATGTAAATTAGAACTGAACTTCCCAGACCGTGAGTCACGAGTGACGGACTGGATGTTGCAGGTGGAGAACAGGAAGTTGGCTAGCCTATGTATATGATGTCAATATCATGGTAGCATTACTTTTGCCTACCTTGCATCCAAAGTCGACGGATGAACCCTCTTATTGGTTAAACGGACCAGCAAGCTCTGTGGAGAGCTTCGAGCAAAGCAGGGCACCTAAGACGCCTTGGTCATCCACTGCACCTTGGTTCGTTTCCAATCGTCTCGACGGATCAAGATGGACACAGATGAAAGAGTGGGGTCGAATTGTGCAACTCTTCCTCACTTAAATCCAAGTCCTTGCCCAAGGCACTTTCATCCAGCGTCATCAACACAGCGATGTGGAAGGCTGTCAAATGGGGACCATTTTGTTTTCCAAGACATGTTGCCACTCGCTCGGGAGGTAATATTTTTGTTTTTTATTATATAAAGTCATGGGGCCAGTGAGTGTTTTGTCTGTGTGTGTGTGTGTTCAGATCATAAAGTATGGGTAAATTCACTAGCCATTCTACTACCCAGCTCTTATCATGATGACGAAGATACCCAAATCTCAGAGGGAACCCGGCCCACTGTCTCGACATGGCCACAATACCGCCGTGGAAGTGGTCCTGGCGCTAACTTGATTACGTGGCTTGGGAGTGAAATTTGGTGAAGGACGTCTTTAATGTCAAAATAAATTAAGAAACTAACATTACTGTACTCAGGACATTCCCACACCTGCCCCATCTTTTTCATCAGTGGCCAAAGAAGAGCAGACAAGCTAATAGTACTAGCTGCTATGCATGTTTTCCCCTCAGTGATGAATATCTTCCAGAACATCTGCTCAGCCCCTCCACTTGTTAAATTGGTATTTCAGCGTAGGGATTCTCTGTTTCTGTCGCACTGTCCATTTGATCACAGAGAGCTTCCACCATGTCCGCTTTATAATAAAGTAGCTCACCAACAGAGGCGCTGCAGCAGTCAACCTATCAACCTGCAAATGCAAGTGAAGTCAAAATAAAAGACATAATTATAACTTTAAGTGGGAACAGGCTGCAGTGGTAACTTGTGGAGGCTTCTAAATTCTAGGAGTGTGCGCGCATGGAAATTGCCAACTTTAAGAGATATCGATTTTGATAACATAAGTTGCATATCGGACAAGTGCTCGGATCCCATCTTCAGTGTGTCTCTTAGCGTGTGGCGACTGACAATGCCACCTCTGTGTGTGTTTACTATCAATCTATGACTACCTCTACAGTGTTTATGTCTTGCTACACCTCTTTTGACCTGAAGTTCTTGAAGTCCTTTGAGTGTTGCCGACTTAACGTCGTCTCCTGAATCATCTTATCTTCTTGCCTCCTTAAGACACTGAGAATGTCTGCCTGGTCCATTAATTTTTCTGTAACAAGTCCTGTGTTGCAATTAGTTAGTTGCCAGAGTAGATTTAAGCTGGCTAGCATATATGTCTTCCCCGAAAGTATCTCCACCTTGCCGTGGTGGGGGAACTTGTGTTTCTCAATGACCCTCAAAGCTATGCCCAAGTTAGCGTAGCTACCAACAGGGCCTCCCAAACCGGAAAGGTCAAAGAGTAGAGAACAGATAAAGAGAGACACTCTAGTCCTCAGGTTGGGAGTTGAAGCGTGGAGCCAACACCACAACCTTCTTAAATCTTCATTTCGTCACGAAACAGATATCTAAGCCTCGATTTCGGTTAGATTTAAACGGACAGCGAAACTGGAACGTTAAAGGACTTTTGAGGCAGACCATGAAGACGATGGAGAGATAATGCCCAGACAGACTTGCAAACAGTTGGTGTTACTAACCGGAAAGAGAAGGCCAACTAGAGAGGTGCATGGAGGCGGGTGATATCTGCAGCAATGAACCTCAAGGATTTGGAATGGTGAAGAAGAAGGCCATATATATATACCTTACGAAGTACAGCGAAATGTGCCAGGCAATACTAATGGCGCTGTTCTTCTTCTTGGCGTTCACTAGCTCTAAACTCCGAAGGAAACTTATGGCTGTTCATCTAACTCTGGACTTCAGTCGTCACCCAGAACTTGAGCTCATGAAAAGCGATGAACTAATAGTCTGTTTATAAGTGAGTCAGATCTGTGTAACGGAAGTGCACGCAAAACTCAGTTCTTGAACAAGACAAGTCCAGAAGTGAAAGTATAACAAGAGCATTCTGCCAGAATTTACAGCCTTGAATGCGAAGAAGTCGAAAAAGACTGGAAACTAATCTGTGAGACCAACTCTTGCTCTAACGGAGCTTCCATTTTCTTTTTTTAAATTGCTGTTAGTGTTACTTGTACATGAGACACATAAATCACCGAAGAACCTCTGAGGCCATTTAGTTAGTTGGGTTATCATCATTGCACTCCAGACATGTCCACTGGTGCTCAGATCCTCCCCTCATTATGAACTCCATCGTCCGGTGGCTAATAGTACGAGTTATATGTTATTCACAAGTCTTTTGGTGCGCGTCTTGTTTATTGCTATGCCGATCTTAACTCCCAAGTCTGATTTAATTTAACAAACACTAAGTAAGCTATTGATTGGCACCCACAGACGCAGAAGAAACAAGTGAAGATAAAAGAACGCATTTGGCCAGAAAACAATTGAAAGCCGCACTGACTACACTAAAGATTGCTTGCCTGTTCATGACAGAATCCGGAGACCGAAACAACTTGGTAACGAAGGGACCGGAAACAGTTTGTCGTGATCGTCAGCGACATTAGTGAGCATCACTGTCTGAAATCTGCGACTTGCTTAGTCCCCGCCTGCTTGTTTGTAAGATATTAAGTGTGTGAGACAACTTCACACACAAACTATAAGCTAAAATGTTGATCAAAGTAAAGGTAACTATATATGGCTGCTTACAACAAGTGCTGTTTAATATTTTTCACAAAACTAAATACACAGTGATTACACAAAACCATATTAATTCTTGACTACTGGTTTGTCATTTTGTCTTCATATCAAATCCCCTTCCTGCTCTTTGACTAGTACTATGTATTTATGTTCATTTCTTTGATGATGTTGTTCCATGTTTTGCATGCTGTCTTCCCCCATCGCCCGCTCACTAAACTTCTCTAGCGTGGCTCTCTAAAGCAGTACTTCAGTCTGGTGGTGCCAGGGCATACTCACCAGCAGTCTCAGAACGAAGGTGTTTGCGTTAATTCTCTGATGGGCGGTTGACATGTTGTGGTTTACAGCTAGGCTAGCATACCTGTACCTTTTGGCCTAACACATTTGATGTCTACAAACCCATAATTAGTCACTTTTTAAAGTCTTGTGGGCACTGTTATCCTCCCCCCCTCCCCCAACCCCCAAATGGGGCTCTAGAACCAGGGAACAAGAACTTTTTCAGTCCTAGTAGATTTTGCTGCAAACACCTAGAAAGAGAACCCATCACTGTGCAATTTCATAACATTAGAACTTTTAAACATACTAAATATACAGTAGACCTGGCCACTAGGGGGAGTCAGGTTTCTTTAGTGTACTCTTGACTAAATATAAAATATATATGAACACTGCACTATGGATGGATTTTATTGTGAAGTGTCCATTATACATCATGCGATGCATGGAACTGAAAGGGTTAAGAATGGAAGGAGGTGTTAGTTGATTAACAAAAAGTTAGTGGCTTCATCCCCTCTGGTGTCAGTATCTAGGTATCCCCATCTTTTTGAATAACTATTAAAGTCTCGGTTCTCCTTGCAATAACGGTCGCTACTTGGACGGCGACGGCCGCTTAGTCGGAGTTCAGTCCCCTGGCAGCAGTGCAGTGGTGAAGTAGTCAAGCTTGCATGATTGAATACATTTTACATCGCAAATAAAAATTATTGTTTAATTATTTTTTTTCAGACACTGACAGGCAAAGAGGTATGTATACTTTCATGGTCAACAGTTGTGCTGCATTTTTGTTGTTGAATACATTGTGCTTTTCACCTTCTCAGTCGGGGTGTTTTAATTGAGCTGAGTGAAAAAACTGACATCTCAGCACTCGGGACATTCTCATAAGCATTCCGTCCCCATCATCAGCAGTAAGCACAGGTCTTTAATTCTGATGGTACCAGTTGCAGTCTGTATTATCCATCTGGCCTTTCCTCTGTGTGTTGACCAGGTCCCTTGGTCACTCCATTTCTGCACCTTTCTCTTCAGTCTGGTGATAATTCTGTTTCATGCTGTACATGTTATGTGTATGATGCTACATTTGTAACATTTCATTAAATGATTTACTAAGATGTGCAGCAGTGAATCTTGGAACGTGAATAAACAACTCAGGGAGCGCTTAAAAATTATGGTTTCTGAAGGGAAATTGTCAACATCTTACAGGGTCTTAGCTAACAGTGATTTGTCTGGGAAAAGCTAATGAATATAGAAAAGAGAGAGAAGGTGTGTTATTTGATACACCACTGGGCCCAGTCTAAAATGGTTACCAGGTAGTGTTCTGGGAAGTGAAGGCGGCCATAAAAATGTTTACACCACCCATCGAGTGCTATTTAATCACTACAAATGTTGACCACACCGCCATCAAGTGCTATTTAATCACTACAAATGTTGACCACACCGCCATCAAGTGCTATTTAATCACTACAAATGTTGACAACACCCCCCCATCGAGTGCTACTTGGTCAATACAAATGTTGACCACACCGCTCATCAAGTGCTACTTGGTCAATACAAACGTAGGTCTAGCAGTATGTTCTTGATGGGCTGCTTGCATGAAAGTTCCTTTTGTAGGCAGTAAAGATAGTTTAAACAAATATAAAAAATAATGGCTAGAAAGAGGAGCAGCAGAAGAGGCAGTCAGAGAACAGTGATACTGCTGGATGGGCTCAGATAGTGGCACGTAGAGGTGATTTAGAGGTAGTAAGGCTGATTTCTTCTCTGATGCTACAGAGCATGCATGGGAATGCCCTGAGTGCTTTGATGTCAATTCTTGACTCAACTCAACTCCTCTGATGCTTTGTTGTAGCATCACAGTGGATGTCACTGCACTTTGGGTATTCCCATTTCTATTCAGTTCTCTGATGCAGCAGGCACAACAAGGTACTTCTATTGATTGTTCATATTAGGAGTAAATTATAACTCTCCTTATCTTGGTTTTGAAGATGGCATAATCATGCTTCTCCTCCAATGTGTCGTCACTTTGGAGTGGTAGAGGTGATGATGTGTTCCAATGACTGGTTAAAACATGCTGCTTAAATAAAAAGAAAAAAATTACTTCGCCATCTACATAATAAAGGTTGGTTGTATCGTACCTTCGGCTGTGTTTATGAGTGTTATGAGGTGAGGCCCAATCACTTCCATGGAGCTACTGTCCAAAAACTTGGGAATGGTTTAAAACAAAAAAAAAATTCTACCATGGAAATTAAACTCTAGTACCCAAGGATTATTGTTAAATACATTTGCTAACACCCAAACCACAGAGCCACATAGATTTAAAAAAAAAATTGATAGGGTTTGAACTTACATGGTAGTATCCCTATAGATTTCTATTCCAGTGACTGGTGAGGCTACTAAAAGGGTCTCCCATGTTAAACAAGTCAAGACTAGGAGAACACATCAGATAGAGATCTCCTGGCCACCGTTGGGAAGGGGGGGGGACAGACCCACTGCCTCCCTAACTAGCTTGTAAAATGCGACTAATTGGGGATTTTTCTTCCGAAGTCAGAGCACATCTGCCTGAGCGGCATGGACCCAGCAGTCTGCACACAGGTCAGCCACTTCTGTAAAACTTAAATCCTGAAGTAAGACTAAAATCTGGAAGTGGATGAACAACCAAAACTGTCCACCAAAGTTTACTGCCAGTGAGCACAGAGGAGAAGAAGAAGAAGAAGATCATGATCCCTAGTGAGTCGAGCTCTTTTTTCGAAAAATAACATTGGCTCCCATGCTGACCCAGTCTAAAAAAGGTACCAGGTGAAGTCCTGGGAAGTAAAGGTGGCCGGTGTTACCACATGACTTATCGAGCAGCGATAGGTCTGCAAAAATATGAGTTTAGCGTCATGCCTCTTGGGCTACCGACGGGAAAAAGTACCTTGTTGATGTTGTAAGTTATAAATGTTGGTAGATTGTTAGCTAAAAGTTGATGATCAGTTTTCTTTTTGTTCATTTACTTTCAGATTGAAATCGACATTGAGCCAACAGATAAGGTAGGAGCATATTTAAAAACGAGGACATAACCAATTTATTGCATAATGTGTTTGGATTATTTTCTTGTCATGCAGATTATGTAGAGAGGAGTAGGTGGCCAAATGGTTAGAATGCTCGGGTCTTGTGCAGGAGGTCTGGGTTTCATTCCTCAGTATTGTTGGGTGTTTTCTCTGTGGGGGAGAGATAAAATTCTAATCTGCACAGTCCGTGGCGACAGCACTCAGGCTGAAATTCTCCCTGCCTACACCATAAATATAGTTAATACCAGCACAAATGGCAGTTGGGGTATTTTGGCAGGTACAGAGGATCTCTTTGTGAGTTAGTTTCTTCCGGTTATTCATTGCACTGCTTATCCTCCCTCTCATGGTTTTTTAGTTCCGGTACCTATTTTAAGGAAGGGAGTAGGTATGGGTGCCAGGAGAAGTCTTGGAAAGTAAAGGTGGCTGTTGTGATATTGACCACATGACCCATGAAATGCTGATTGGTCGGTTTATTGTGCCAGTGATGTGAAAAGGGTCCATAACTCTTGTTTCCAGATCTTCCAGGCTTCTGTCCTTATTCACGTCTGCTCATTTGCAGGTTGAGAGGATCAAAGAGCGTGTGGAAGAGAAGGAGGGGATTCCCCCACAACAGCAGAGACTGATCTTCAGTGGCAAACAGATGTAAGTTTTTTTTTGTCTCCTAGAATCAGGCTCTGCTCTGGCTGTTTAGATACAAGTTAGCTGCATGTCTTTGTCAGGACTTGCAGACCTAGCATTGATTGGCCATTTGTGTGGCTTGACCAGGCAGTTGTACATTGAAAAGTCTGGCTCTAACAGCGCCTGCAAGAACAAGTTAGAGTAACAACTTTGAGATCAGGCATCTTTCCAGTGGCAGCTTTTAACTGTGAGTCATTAACTCTTACTTGATCTTTGAAGAAAAAAATAAGATCTTTTAAACTGAAATGCTACAGAAAAATTCTTAGAATACAGTGGACCAAGAAGAAGACAAATGTCAACATCCTGCATGGTTTGAGCATCGAGGAGAATTGGCTGATAAAGCATGCTGAGAAAGGTGAAGACAGGGATGCTTTGAGCAGAGTGGCAAGCTTTACTGGGAAGGTCACGGGTAGTGAGCATACTTTGGATCTTTTCTCCAGGCTATGCCGGCGTAGTGGGTAATGAACAGGCAGACAGATTGGCTAGATCTTCACCATTGGGTGGTAAATTGATACATAATAAGGCAGATGTGGTCAAGGCCCTTTGGGAACAAGAAACAATCAGTAGAGAAAGAAGATTATTATGGCCTGGAGAGAATGAGGCACCTGAGTGTAACTAGAGGGTCTGGGCGGCTCACTACACTTAGAGGAAGGACAAGATGGACATATAACCAAATTGTGACTGGTACCATCATTATTGGAACTCTGCGCTAGCTGCTGAAGATGAGGACCGAGCATGCATGGGACTGCTGCCCCGAGTGCTGTTATGTCATTTCTAGACTCCCCCGTGTGGGTTCCGCGGCCCGATTATAGGGAAAACACAAATATACCCGGTGCCTACCCAAAAGCATGTCATAAGAGTTGACTAATTGGGAGCTTCCTTCGAAGTGGGAGTGCATCTGCCTGAGAGGCAAGGAACCAGAAGTCTGCACACAAATGCCTCAGATCTGTCAAACGGATGCACATGCAACACTCAGGTTCTGGAACAGGACCGCAGTCCAGAAGTGGGCGAACAACCAGAACTTTCCACCAGAGTTTACAGCTGATGAATGCAAAGAAGAAGAAGAAAAAGATTTCTAGGCTCAACTCAACTGGCTAAGAAACAGCATCCTGTCCCGAAGGCTAGGGTATTTTGACCATGTTAAACATCACGGTGGCCTGGAGAGAACGAGGATGGAGGGGACAGTTTCTGGGAAATGACACGGAGGCAGACCTCTGTGAATGTGGATACAAGGCATTGAAGGTGTATTGGCTATGAAAGCACATAGGGCGTGAGAACTGGCTAGAGAAAGAGAGATTGTCAAGTGTGCCGTGACAAGAGTGATGTTCTGGAAAGGATCTGCTGAGTGACGATGAGTTTGGATCTGGCTGTACATCTGATGAATGTTTGTAACAGTTTCCTAGAATGTTTAAATGTGGGTGGGAGGGAGGTGAAAAAGAGAGAGAGAGAGAGAAAGAGTGGATCTCCATGTTTGGGTTTAGGTACCCCTTTAAGGAGGGGGGAGTAGACCCACTGTCTCTCTGACAAACATGTCATAAAAGTCAACTAATTAGGCAGTTTGCTTACCTTAGATGTGTGGAGATATCACAGCCTTGCTGTAAACCACAAGCGCCATGCCAATGGCCTTTTTATGGGTGAATGGCGAAGACGACGAAGGGCTTGCCTTCCACTTAGAAATGTGGCCTTCTCTGTCATTGATGATTCTGGTTTTTGTTCATTAAAGACACTGGTTGAAACATTTGGTTGCACGTGTGCACGTCTTTACCCCCATTGAGCTTTTCTAGTCATAGTTTGTGGTGTGCACATTCTTGATCTGAACCTGACTGTATTCACTCCCTAATGTTGACATAAACTCTGAAATGCATACGCCTGTTTCTTAATAGAGACATTGTTCTGTGTTTTCCTTTTTAAAGAAAAATTCAATAGCACGCAATATACAAAAATTGTGCTAGTGTGTTTGGGAATTTACGGGCAGACAGATTGGCTGATTGTGCGTGGGGAATAGGTGCATGACCATTCATACAAGGTAAAACCTTTGTATTTCTGTCAGTAAAAGTAGGTAAATTGAATAAATCATCCTGGCTGGAAATAATGATGCAAAGAAGAGTGACCTGGCTCTAGCAGACGTTCTTCATCTTCATGTTCACCGGCTATAAACTCTGGCAGGTTCAGTGTTTAGAAGAAAGGTTCAGTGTTTAGAGGCAAGGTTCAGTGTTTAGAGGAAAGGATCAGTGTTTAGAGGAAAGGTTCAGTGTTTAGAGGAAGGGTTCTGTGTTTAGAGGAAAGGTTCGGTGTTTAGAGGAAAGGTTCAGTGTTTAGAGGCAAGATTCAGTGTTTAGAGGAAAGGTTCAGTGTTTAGAGGAAAGGTTCAGTGTTTAGAGGCAAGGTTCAGTGTTTAGATGAAAGGTTCAGTGTTTAGAGGCAAGGTTCGGTGTTTAGAGGAAAGGTTCGGTGTTTAGAGGAAAGGTTCAGTGTTTAGAGGAAAGGTTCAGTGTTTAGAGGAAAGGATCGGTGTTTAGAGGAAAGGTTCAGTGTTTAGAAGAAAGGTTCAGTGTTTAGAGGAAAGGTTCAGTGTTTAGAGGAAAGGTTCAGTGTTTAGAGGAAAGGTTCAGTGTTTAGAGGAAAGGTTCGGTGTTTAGAGGAAAGTTTCGGTGTTTAGAGGAAAGGTTCAGTGTTTAGAGGAAAGGTTCAGTGTTTAGAGGAAAGGTTCAGTGTTTAGAGGAAAGGTTCAGTGTTTAGAGGAAAGGTTCAATGTTTAGAGGAAAGGTTCAGTGATTAGAGGAAAGGTTCAATGTTTAGAGGAAAGGGAAGACAGACATATAATCACATTACAACCATCAGTATTGAAATTGTGTGTTGACTGCTGAAGATGGGGTTAGAGCATGATTGGGGTGTCAACTTACTTGTTACATCAGCTTACTCTACATGCTCATCTCAACTCACTCCAGTAAATCAGTTCCACTTTCTCAACTCTACTTACTCAAAGAACTCACTTTTCTCAGGTCAACTTATTCAGCTAAATGAACTTGCTTAGGTCAACTTACTCCACTTAAGTTAACACACCTCAGCTTACTCTACTCAACTCAAAATAATCAACTCAACTCAGTATAAAACAAAGGTCAACTGTGTTCTCTGTCTGCTTCTACCAGGAATGATGAAAAGACGGCCAGCGACTACAAAGTGACAGGAGGCTCCGTCCTCCACCTGGTTCTGGCATTGAGGGGAGGTTGTGCCAAACAAGATGTTTAATATTTAAGATTTGTCTGTCTCTGTAAGTTCCGGGCACTGACTACAATTCTTCATCTTGATTTGCTTTGATATGAACTCTGGTTTGTGGTGTGTCAGTGGGAATATGCGTTTCCTTTGCCATGATCTCTTCGTATGTTGTGTATTAGTGAGCATATGTGTTTCCTTTGCTACTTACATGATTTGAAATAAATGCCAGTGTTGTAAAGACATTATGTTGTTTTTTTCTTTGTTAAACTGAGCTTTGTGAAAGACTGAACCAAGAATTGAAATCACTGCACTTAACAGGGAATTAGAAGAGAGCTGCATGCAGTTTATTAGCAGACCGCTTGATGATGCGCAGTTCAAGAGTACCAATGTCTCTTAGCTGTTCTTTCTCAAGCCTACCTCACTTTCATGCTGTGGATTCTGTTTTTCCCCCATTTAATCCATTGGAAGGTTTTGATTCCATAAACTGGATTAGACATCAAATGGGGTAAAGGCAAAATCTGTTTCCATGGCCAACCACTGAGCCGAGAGTGTGGTGCAACACTGAACTGTAAACTTCATGGGAAAGACTCATTGTCTTTGCTCTCGGAGATGTGTGTTGTAAACTGCATATTCAGAAAATGGCTAGGAGCTGGTTGCCACAGAATTGGCAGTGTGCCTAATGCAATAATATGGGTGCATGTGCTGGTTTGTCATGACAGCTGCTTCCATCAACTGTGAATGGCAATTCTAGTAGTATACTGTTGTTGCCTTTTGCATTTGATGTGCGTGCAAGCTGTTGGATTTGTCTGGGACTGCTGTCTGTCTGACTTTTCACATGGGGCAGCTATGGGAATTTTGTCTGGTTGTCACCGACACTGAGCAGTTATGGGGTGATCCCACTGGGATCATGTTACAACCCTGATTAATAGCCTGATAGAAAGCTGTGCATTGAACACTGCCGTGCGGAGGACGTCAAGGGTCATAAGTCTTGTTTGAGTGCCAAATAATAATTGATGTATATCAAATAGTAAATGAATTACAAAACTTGAAACGGAACTTCTGTGGGGTGGGGGGGGGGGGCTTAATCTCTTTAAAATTGGGCTGAAAGGGCACTTCAGAATTAAATGCTGGAATTGCTTTGAGACATTAGTAGGTATGGTATGATAAATTAACATGTATTGATTGAGGGGTTGTTATTGCAACAGGCTGTCGTACAGGAGACTCGTATTCGACGCCTGGTAACATGATGGAGTTTTTCTGTTGGGGTCGCAATAAAACATTGTAACCTTCACAGTCCGTGGCAACAACACTAGTCATGCAGCCATAAATCCTTAGGCTCATAACCCTCCCTATCTGCTCTGCCCTAGAAAGTGGTAAATACAGATAGTAGTGACAGTTGACAGATTTGAACTCATGGAAAGAAGTTGTTTATATATATATATTTATTATACACTCATCCCCCTTTCACACATATCCCAGTGTGGGTTCCGCACATTGTTGCTGGATTTTGTAAAATTAAATACAGACTGACTGACGTTTAACACCACCTGGGCATCACACAGAGTGCCACTATTCGGATGAGGATCACCAGAGGACAAGTCCCAGAAACCCAGTTCAACCCATAGGTTGGGTTATTTTAGGGCCCCTATTATGTTTTTGGCTTATTTGTATGCAGACTGTTGGTTCATTGACTCTCAGGCAGATGCACTCTGACTTTAAAGGCTACCAGTGTCTTCGCGCTGAACAGACTCCAGAACATGTCCTGCAAGACTCCTCTCCTGGCGGAGCAACACCCAGGAGAACTGTCAACTAAGCTTTGGGGAAACCTAAGAGACCTTGAAAAGACATCCCAGTTTATGGCCCACAGTGGATTATGCGCATGACCAGAGATTGCTGAAGAAGAAGAAGACTTTAAAGGAAACTTCTAATTATTCGACTCTTAACGGCTTGCCTCTTAGGAAGGCAGTGGGTCTTGGGATCTATTCCCCCCCCCCTCCCCTCCCCCAATTGCCAAAGGGGCTCAGGAACCCTCATCATCATCATCAGGTGCCTTGCCGAGTGGCGTGGGCGATCATGCCTCTTCATAATCCACGATCTCCTACAGCATGTATCAGTTCGTGTGCCGACACACCTCCACGCCATGCAACGAGATTGTCAAGAATCTTCTCTCGTTGTCTTCCTCTATCCCTCCTTCCACAGATCTTTCCAGTGATCACATGTTCTATTTTCCCTCTTCTCATAACATGGCCGAAAAATGATAACTGTCTCCTTCTGATGTCTGTGATAAGTTGTCTTTGGGCCAGGAACCCTCACGGTCAAAATGACTTATTAGGGGTGTTTAGAGGTTCGAATGCATCTGCAAAAAAGGAACAAATAGTGTGCATACGAATATGACATCTGTAAAACAGATATGCACGTAAAAATCAAGTTCTGGAAGAAGACTCAAGTCCAGAAGTGGGCGAACAACCAGAACTTTCTGCCAAAGTTTACAATCGGTGAGCGAGAGGAAGAAAACGTGCGCCCACACGCAATGGGATCAAGCGACTACAACATAACAGAGCATCCAAGCGAAGAGTTCTAATTCCGATGGTACCAATAACCGTTTGATTGTATATCCGTCTCATCCTTTCCCCTGAGTGTTGAGCGTTGGCCAGTTCCACTGGTAACTCCTCGCAGCGCCATTCTCACTAGACCGTAATGATCTATCTGCGCCTCCGCACTGTTAACTCGTTCCTAAAGGGCCCTCACAATATCTAGCTTGTCAATTCACCACCAAATGGTGAGAAAATATCAAAAGTATGTTAACTACCCGGGACCTCTGAAGTGATGCTTGCCATTCTACACGAAGCATGCTTTGTTTTTTTTAAACCTTTCTCAACATTCTCTGTGAGTCAGTTAAATCACGGCATGTGTGAACAGCTGATTCCCAAGATTAAAAAAAAAGGCATCTAAACGTGCATCAGAGTACCAGCAGCCGACTTTGGAACCGGTTCCAAGGCACTGGTTCAATTGACCGCCACAGCGTGACAAAAGCAGCGGAGAATCGCTTTATTCAGCTTCGTCAGCTCAGAGACAGGTTTACAACAGCATCCTCAACTGCGCAGGCATTGCCTCTGGGACGTCATGTGTCTGATCAAACTGTTCGGAACAGACTGCATGACGTTGGACTCTGGGCACGACGACCACACAGAGGACCTGTCCTTACGCGTCGCCACCGCCAATATCGACTTCTTTGGGTCAACCAACATCGTCTCTGGGTAGGTGACAATCAATGGAAACGTGTCTGGTTTAGTGATAAATCTTTCATTTTGTTTCAGCGTCACTATAGACAACGTTGAGTCTACCGTAGGTGAAATGAAGGATTAGGACAAAATTGTGTTAATGAAGCTCTGCTGCACAGTGGTGGATGTGTAATGGTGTGGGGAATGATCGTTAAAACGGAAGGATTCAATTGGTGCACATTGAAGAAGGCTTGAATGCGCAATGATACGTCAGTGAAATTCTTCTACTACATGTCCTTCCATTTTTGGGATGCCAACAGATATCCTTTTCAACAGGACAACGACAGACTCAGTTCTGCACCGTTGACTACGCAGTTCCCGGCTGCCAATGAACATTCAAACCCTTCCCTGGTCATCCCTGTCTGCAGACATGAGTCCGATTGAGCACCAGTGGGATGAGCTGCAAAGGCGTGGGATGAGCCAATGGGGGTGATCTGTTCCAGGCAATCCAAGGAGAATGGGCAGCCATCCTACAGGCCCACAGCAGACATCTGATCGCATCCATTCCCAGGAGATGCCAGTCACTAATTCACGCAAGAGGAGGCCACACAGCATACTAACGGGAAAAGCCGTACTTCTAAAATTGTCGTGACCCTGATTAAAAAAAAAAAAAAACAACGTGTCAATTGATTAGTGGAGCCCTAAGGTATTCTTGTGTGAAATTTAAGTAATATTATTATTGCATTACAAAGATGCAGTGTCACAGTTGTGAGTAGCTTATGTAGGTTCCTTTCAGTAGCTTTGCGTGTTTTTTTTGTTTTTTTTTTACGAAGGTTTGGGATGCCTTTTAAGTAAGATATTATTTTTCATCGTAGTCACCATTACGTTTCACATTATACATACATCATTACATGAACACTAGGAATTACAAAAAGTTCAGTTCACACCAGATACAACATTGCATATACAGATAAAAAAAAGATTATATACACAGATGGCTCTGTAGTGAGTGGTAAGAAAAGTAGGTGGGGTTTTATGGCAACTGTCAATGGACAATGTTTGGGGAGAAAAACAAAACGTCAGTGGAAAGTTCTGGACTGGTCTTGTTCCTGAATTTTAGTTTTTGCGTGCACACCCGTTTTACATATCTGGCTTAATTGTAAGCCTATTTGTAAGTTAATTGCTAGCCTCTGAGGCAGATGCCCCCAACCTGGAAGAAAAGACCCCTTTATAGTCGCCTTTACAGCATGCTTGTGGATCCGGGGGGGGGGGGGGGGCGTAGGTTTATCCCCGTCCCCCCCCCCCCCCCCCCCCCCCCCCCCCCAATGCGGCATCGGAACCCAAACAGTCAAGAGGTTTCAATTTCAGTTTGTAAGAGACGTCTGGCGATCTCTCTGGCAAACCTCTACCCCAAGATAGAAGAGGAGCGACTAAGTAAGTAAGTAAGTAAGACAGCAGAAGACAGTCCCAATTTTGCCTTGATTTCTATCAGCAAATGTAAAACTACAACCGGCCAGATGATCAACATGGCTGTTTGTGTAGCAGTCATAGCTAAGGAGGTAGGACACTGTTCCAGTACAACTGTTGTTATTTATTTGTCATCGAATTTATTTATTATTAATCATTCGTTTCTGTAAATTAAGCAAAAGGCATTACGTATTTTGATAAGATGTATGTTGAACAACGTAACTGCCTTCTTGTAAATTTTTTTAAGAAAAAGAGAAAAAAAAAAAAAACGGTTGGGTTGACATTTGTAATTCAAGTCGAGGACGAATAAATACGTTTAGGACGCTAGGGATTATCATCTGTGATATTACCTTAATGTATCATCGCATGGAAACAAAAAAACATCCACATGCTGAAGATTAAAGTGGTTAAAAAAAAAGCTCGGCTATCCTCCGACGAACGGTTGGCAAAGATGGCGGCCGCAAAATATCCTTTCGAGCCACAGTCGCGTGACTTAATTTGCTGTTCTCCGGCGGTTTTCAAGCGAATATCACCATCGCCACTTGTCCCCCACGCTGCTCACGCGGCGTGGAATGGGGCTAAACTAGATGGCTAAGACCCACGAGCAGCAGCCGCGGTGTGCTCGCGACCGCTAGTGCGCAATTGACACGCGACTGTGGCTCAAAAGGATATTTTGCGGCCGCCTTCTTTACCGACCGTTCCTCGGAGGAAAGCTAAAAGCTTTTGAAATAAATAAATAAAAGAGACAGGAGAAATGATTTGGCCACATTAAAAGATATGTTCTTACTTATGAAATGCCTGCTGGAAGGAAAGCAAGAAACAGGCAGGCGGTGATGCATGTGGGAGGTTAAGATCAAGATAAGTACAAACATAACATCAAGAGAAGGAAAAAAGAAGTCAGTCAGAGAGTGTTGGAGATCTAGTCTAGCAAATTGTCATTGTGGAGTTGACACCTCATCAAGTGTGGAGTTGACACCTCGTCTAGTGTGGAGTTGACACCTCATCTAGTGTGGAGTTGACACCTCGTCTAGTGTGGAGTTGACACCTCATCTAGTGTGGAGTTGACACCTCATCTAGTGTGGAGTTAACACCTCATCAAGTGTGGAGTTGACACCTCATCTAGTGTGGAGTTGACACCTCATCTAGTGTGGAGTTGACACCTCATCTAGTGTGGAGTTGACACCTCATCTAGTGTGGAGTTGACACCTCATTGATTGTGGTTGACACCTCATCTAGTGTTGAGTTAACACCTCATCGATTGTGGTTGACACCTCATTGATTGTGGAGTTGACACCTCATTGATTGTGGGGTTGACACCTCATCTAGTGTATAGTTGACACCTCATCTCATGTGGAGTTGACACCTCATCTAGTGTGGAGTTGACACCTCATCAAGTGTGGAGTTGACACCTCATTGATTGTGGAGTTGACACCTCATCGAGTGTGGAGTTGACACCTCATTGATTGTGGAGTTGACACCTCATTGATTGTGAAGTTGACACCTCATCTAGTGTGGAGTTGACACCTCATTGATTGTGGTTGACACCTCATCTAGTGTGGAGTTAACACCTCATCGATTGTGGTTGACACCTCATTGATTGTGGAGTTGACACCTCATTGATTGTGGGGTTGACACCTCATCTAGTGTATAGTTGACACCTCATCTCCTGTGGAGTTGACACCTCATCTAGTGTGGAGTTGACACCTCATCAAGTGTGGAGTTGACACCTCATTGATTGTGGAGTTGACACCTCATCGAGTGTGGAGTTGACACCTCATTGATTGTGGAGTTGACACCTCATTGATTGTGAAGTTGACACCTCATTGATTGTGAAATTGACACCTCATTGATTGTAGAGTTGACACCTCATTGAGTGTGGAGTTGACACCTCATCTAGTGTGGAGTTGACACCTCATCGAGTGTGGAGTTGACACCTCATCTAGTGTGGAGTTGACACCTCATTGATTGTGGAGTTGACACCTCATCTAGTGTGGAGTTAACACCTCATCGATTGTGGTTGACACCTCATTGATTGTGGAGTTGACACCTCATTGATTGTGGGGTTGACACCTCATCTAGTGTATAGTTGACACCTCATCTCATGTGGAGTTGACACCTCATCTAGTGTGGAGTTGACACCTCATCAAGTGTGGAGTTGACACCTCATCTCGTGTGGAGTTGACACCTCATCTCGTGTGGAGTTGACACCTCATTGATTGTGCAGTTGACACCTCATTGATTGTGGAGTTGACACCTCATTGATTGTGCAGTTGACATCTCATCGAGTGTGGAGTTGACAGGCAGTGTCGCCTAAACAAAGCAGAGAGGGGAAGGGGAGATGTCTTCCCTGATGCATTTGTCATCTGCTGATATCAGGGTAGCTGACTACCTGAATGAAAGACTTGGGCTATCCTCCGAATAACGGTCCTAAATTATTGAGGCAGAAAATATACCCTAACAGGGCCTCAGTCACGTGTCAATTGCGCACTTCCAGGGATTATAACGCCGCCGCCGAATTGCAAACTTCCGCCACCGCCGAGAGTATCCCGCATACCGCTCACACGGCGTGGATTCGGGCTAAACTAGATGGCTGGGACTCACGAGCAAATGTTTCATGAAGGCAGCTGCAGGAAATGCGGTAGCTGCTGCTTGTAAGTCCCAGCCATCTAGTTTAGCCCCAATCCACGCCACGTGAGCGGCGTGGGGGATACTCTCGGCGGTGGCGGAAGTGCGCAATTTAAGACGACAGAAGTGCACAATTAACACGTGACTGAGGCCCTGTTAGGGTCTATTTTCTGCCTCGATAATTTAGGACCGTTATTCAGAGGATAGCCAAAGACTTGTTCTTCCTAGAAATAAATCGCTGGTACTCACAAAACATGTTTAATACAGTTGAGCAGACAAAATGCTGTCTATTAAAGATGCCTCTCCTTCGAACTTCGTCCCTATATCATGGCTGCCAAACAAATACCCTAACAGGGCCTCAGTCGTGTGTAAAATGCGGACTTCCTCCGACGAACACATCGCGGCAAAACTGGGATTACTGTCCTTTGACAGTTTCAAGAAACGCAACAATACACACGATAATAGCGAAATGGTGGGGAGACCACGCGCTCCGACACAGATAAGCGATAGTTTTCTTCTGATAACTCACCACCAAGCGTATTACCCACGCCGGTACGCGCGGCGCAGATGGGTGCTAAACCAAATGGCTGGGACTCACGAGCAGCAGCTACTGCATCTCCTGCAACTTCCTTCAGTTTATTTGCTTGTGAGTCCCAGCCATCTAGTTTAGCCCCCAATCTGCGCCACGCGTAGCGGCGCGAGGAATACTATCGGCGGTGCGGCACAGTTGCAGAAACAGGTCCACAATTAACATATCGCTGAGACCCTGTTAGAGTATTTGTTTGCTCTCTATAATATTGGCCCGTTATTCAGAGGCAATCTTAGTTTTACCGCAATTTATTCCTCGGCAGGCACTCCGCAATTTGCATATGACTGAGGCCCTGTTAGGGTATTTGTTTGGCCGCCATAATATGGGACGAAGTTTGAAGGAGAGCCAAATTGCCAGTACAGCGTGCCTTTGTGTACTGTCAGTAAAAGCCCTGCTTGAAAGTATCTACTGGCTTAAGACTTGTGCCCGCTAGTTTGGTGTTACATATTGGGGGGCATATTTTCTTTGCAGTTGCCATTACTTCTGTTATCCTCCCTCCGTTTTTCATCAAAACTTTGTCTTCTTTCAGTTTCACCGGCTGTAAAGTCCTGGTTGTTCTCCACTTCTGGGACTTTGGTCTCCCTGTGTGGGTTCCGGAGCCCCATTGTGGCAAGGGAAAAAAGAATAGACCCATTAGGAAGCATGTAGTAAGAGTCTACTAATTACGGATGTTCCGTTCGAAGTTGGAGTTAGTCTGCCTGAGAGAAGAGGAACCAGCCATCTGTGTACAACTAAGCCAGATCTGTCAAATGGATGTGTACATAAAACTTAGGTTCTGGAACAATACTAAAGTCGAGAAGTGAATGAGCAACCAGAATTTTCCATTGGAGTTTACAGCCAGTAAACATGAAAAAGAAAAAGGACTATGGTCTCATTCTGAAACTTGAGTTTTGCATGCAAATTAATTTTACAGATCCCCCGTGTGGGTTCCGGGGCACCATTATGGGGAAAACAAGAATAGACCCACTGCCTCCCCAAAAGCATGTCGTAAGAGTTGACTAATTGGGGAGCTTCCTTTGAAGTCGGTGTGCATCTGCTGGAGAGGCAAGGAACCAATAGTCTGTATTCAAGAGAATGAGATCTGTAAAACTGATGCACACACAACACTCAGGTTCTGGAGCAGGACTGCAGTTCAGTAATGGACGAGCAACCAGAACTTTCCACCAGAGTGTACAGTTGGTGAAGGCGAAAAAGAAGAAAAAATTTTACAGATCTGGCTTATTTGTATGTGTATGCAGACTGCTGGTTCCTTGTCTCTCAGGCAGATACACTCCGACCTAGAAGGAGACACCCCTAATTATTCTCCTTTTTTACAACATACTTGCTAGAGAGACAGTGGGTCTATTCTATTACTTCAAAACTGAGCCCCAGAACTCACGCAAAGCAAAGTTGGGGGTGGGAGCCCTGACTGGTCTCAAGGCATGTCATCCGCCTGGAGTGCTGGAGGTCCCGGGTTTAGGTCCCGCTGAAGGCTGGGATTTTTTAAAATGTGGACCTAGTAATTTCCCCTGCTCTCTGTGTAGTATGATTGGAAGCCTGTGTGTATTGTTATGCACATTACGAAATCCCTTGGCAGCTGGAAATAAAAAAGAGTAGCCTAACGACACTGTCTCAGCCAAATCTGTAGTTAAAAATCTACCCAAAGTATTTCAGGATCCTCACCAGTGCTAAGGAGTTATTACACTGCGCTGAGATTCTTCAGACTCAGACTTGAGTTAGAAGTAGAACCGAGCACAAATGAGTTACTACCCTTATGCCATGAAGTTGATCCGTTTATTAAACCTTAAACCCTAAACCTCACGCAAAGTTTCACCAAAACATATTTCTACTGATGATAAATGACAAACATTCATTAACTATGGACTGTCGGCACTGCTTTATTTCTTTCAGAACTATCCTTTGTTCATCAAGACAGTCCCGACAGACAATGAGCTCAAGTTCTACTACACGGTGCACACATCTCTGGATGTGGTTGAAGAGAAGATCAGTTCTGTGGGGAAAAACACCAATGACTTGAGAGAACTCTATCTAGGGCTGCTGTACCCGACAGAGGACTATAAAGTGTATCCTTGGCTGGTTTTATTGGCGGCTGGTGTTTAAGTGATTTTTTTTGTCATCAGAACCCTTGTCCTTCAGCATCTTTACTAGCTAGTGTTGGTTAATTGTCCGACTGGATGGTTGGTTTCTTTGGTTGATTGAGTTGTTTCTTTTGTTTGTATGTTGGGGGCAAGGGGGGGGGGGGGGGGGGGGGGGGGGTTTGTTGTTTTTGTTTGTTTGTTGTTGAGGTAGTTGGTTGTGATGGGTTTTTTTTTTCCGGTTGAGGTAGTTTATTGGGGTAGTTGGCTGATTGGAGTGGTAGGTTGGTTGGGGTAGTAGTTTGGTTGGTTTTGCTTGTGGTTGGGGTGGTTACTGATTAGGGTGGTTGGTTGAGGTGTTTGGTTGATTGAAGCAATCAGTCTGTGGTTGATTATGGTGACTGGTTGGTTGCAGTGGTTTGCTGATTGGTGTGGCCAGTTGGTTGGGGTGATTGTTTGATTGAATGCTTGAGGTGTTTGCTTGGTTGGGGTAATTGTTTGATTGAGTGCTTGAGGTGTTTGCTTGGTTGGGGTGATTGTTTGATTGAGTGCTTGAGGTGTTTGCTTGGTTGGGGTGATTGTTTGATTGAGTGCTTGAGGTGTTTGGTTGGTCGGGGTGATTGTTTGATTGAGTGCTTGAGGTGTTTGGTTGGATGAAGTGATTGTTTGATTGAGTGCTTGAGGTGTTTGGTTGGTTGGGGTGATTGAGTGCTTGAGGTGTTTGGTTGGTCGGGGTGATTGTTTGATTGAGTGCTTGAGGTGTTTGGTTGGGTGAAGTGATTGTTTGATTGAGTGCTTGAGGTGTTTGGTTGGTCGGGGTGATTGTTTGATTGAGTGCTTGAGGTGTTTGGTTGGATGAAGTGATTGTTTGATTTAGTGCTTGAAGTGTTTGGTTGGTCAGGGTGATTGTTTGATTGAGTGCTTGAGGTGTTTGGTTGGTCAGGGTGATTGTTTGATTGAGTGCTTGAGGTGTTTGGTTGGATGAAGTGATTGTTTGATTGAGTGCTTGAAGAGTTTGGTTGGTCAGGGTGATTGTTTGATTGAGTGCTTGACATGTTTGGTTGGTCAGGGTGATTGTTTGATTGAGTGCTTGAAGTGTTTGCTTGGTTGGGGTGATTGTTTGATTGAGTGCTTGAGGTGTTTGGGTTGATTGTTTGATTGAGTGCTTGAGGTGTTTGCTTGGTCAGGGTGATTGTTTGATTGAGTGCTTGAGGTGTTTGGTTGGTCGGGGTGATTGAGTGCTTGAGGTGTTTGGTTGGTTGGGCTGATTGTTTGATTGAGTGCTTGAGGTGTTTGGTTGGTCAGGGTGATTGTTTGATTGAGTGCTTGGGGTGTTTGGTTGCTCAGGGTGATTGTTTGATTAAGGTGTTTGGGGTGATTGTTTGATTGAGTGCTTGAGGTGTTTGGTTGGTCAGGGTGATTGTTTGATTGAGTGTATGACATGTTTGGTTGGTTGGGGTGATTGTTTAATTGAGTTCTTGAGGTGCTTGGTTGGTCAGGGTGATTGTTTGATTGAGTGCTTGAGGTGTTTGATTGAGTGCTTGGGGTTTTTGGTTGGTTTGGGGTGATCACAGTATTTTTGTTGGTGTGAGTGATTGGTTGAATGGGATAATTACATATTGCTTTGAAGACATATTCATTCACAGATCTTGATGTAATGACATATATCCCAAATGTTGTTAATTATGGAGGTGAGTTAGTCACAGTTTATGACATTTTAGTGGTTGTCTTCAAGTACATACTGTGTGGTCTTGGTAGTCATGTCTGTCTACAACCTTCTTCTCATGACCTTCTTCTGTGGCTTCCTGCATAGTCTTGTCTGATCTCACCTCTTAACATATAGTGATTTGCAGTCTCATCATGGTTGTACGGTGGTCTTCACTTAATTGAGATACCTTGTCTTCTGGTAGACCTTTCACTATATCAGCCTTGTCAGTTGCTTTTCTGTCCTTCATAGTAGCCTTGCCATCAGGCATCATGCTCATATCTGTTTACACCTGCGTGTCCCAGCACAGACATGAAACTGATCTCTGAGATGTGTTTCTGTTTGTATTCAAGTTGATTTCCTTGACAGTCTAAAGCTATGGTTATGTTACCAACACAAAAGTCAAGTTCGTTATCGTTGTTGATTCTTCGAATGCTACCTTGAGAGACAATGAGATTAGAACAGTGAGTAATTTTTGTTTACAATTGTGTGATTTAGGTATCTGTTCACCATTGTGTGATTTAGGTGTCTGTTCACCATTGTGATTTAGGTGTCTGTGTGCGATTTAGATGTCTGTTAACCATTGTGTGATTTAGGTGTCTGCGATTTAGGTGTCTGTTTACCATTGTTTGATTTAGGTGTCTGTTTAGCATTGTGTGATTTAGGTGTCTGTTCACCATTGTGATTTAGGTGTCTGTGCGATTTAGACATCTGTTTACCATTTAGACATCTGTTTACCATTGTATAATTTAGGTGTCTGTTCCCCATTGTGATTTAGGTGTCTGTGTGCGATTTAGACATTTGTTTACCATTTAGACATCTGTTTACCATTGTGTAATTTAGGTGTCTGTTTACCACTGTGTGATTTAGGTGTCTGTTGTTAACCATTGTGTGAAGAAGGTGTCTGTTTAGGATTGTGTGATTTAGGTGTCTGTTTATCAATGTGTGATTTAGACATATATTTACCATTGTGTAATTTAGGTGTCTGTTTACCACTATGTAGGGCTTATATGTCTGTTTATTGCAGGTCTAGGCATTTCTTTACAACTGTTCTTTAATTTACCACCTTTTTGTTCAAGTGTCTATTTGCCACTTTGTTATTTAGTGTCTGTTTACCAGGTTGTTCTTTAAGTATCTGTTTACAGCCATGATGTTTAAGTGTTTGTTTACTACGTTGTTGTTTCAGTATCTGTTTACCACATTGTTGTTCAATTATATGTTAACCACTCTGTTGTTTCAGTGTCTGTTTACCCAGTAGTTGTTTTAGTGTCTGTTTACCCCGTAGTTGTTTAAGTGTCTGTTTACCACATTGCTGTTTAAGTGTCTGTTTACCACGTTTCTATTTAAGCAACCGTTTACTCTTTTGCTGTTTACTCTTTAAGGCCTGAGTAACACTTGAGTGTTGATTAAGAAGTTCTGATTTGCCTAAACAACACTGTCATCGCCAATCGTGTGTCCCGTAAATAATGTTTACCAACAGCGCCCTATTTGTTTGTAATGTTCGGAACTACTTTAAAAATATTCAGAAAAGGTTACACTAACGTCTTCCTTTGAATAAAATTTTGGGTTCCAGGTCATGTGGACACAGATTGTTCCAAATCACAGCTAGCATTATTTTTTTTTTTTTTTTTTTTGCAACAGTGAATTTTCTAAGTTTATGTTCAAAGTCATGGATACTAATGTTCTAACAAAAAATACAGTATTCAAAATGCGTCTTTGTGGGGCCGAAGATTTGAAATTATTTCTGTCAGATGTTTTTAATTCTGATGATATTAAAAATTTAGCTTTTTCGCAAAGTGATTCGATGAATTTACGCGGCAATCAGCTGTTTGGGAATCTAGCAATTCTGATGAGTCTGACACATAAAATGTTTCATTGGTGAAAGAGAAGGAAAGTGCTCCAAACAGATAGATACTACTATGGCTAAACTAAATTTAGATCATTGCAGCTACAGTCTGTATATAACTGTACAAAGTAAACATTATGTGTGTAATGGTCTATTTTTCTGCCATTTGTTTCTTTGAATTTTTGTTCAACACTCTGTTGGAACTTAGAGCCTCTGAGCGCTAAACTAACCCATAAACTTATCATAACTTTGGAATTTGATAGGAAATTGAACAAACTTTAAAGTGTTATTCTCAAATTTGGATTTTCACTGCTGTTGTGGCTGCAAAACCACGGTAAGTGAAGAATTTTTATGAGGCAAGGAACCACAGGTTTGCAAACAAACAAGCCAGATCTGTGAAATGGATGTTCAGTTAGCACAAGGTTCTGGAACAAGACAAAAAGTCCAGCCGTGGACAAACAACCAGAGCTTTTGGCCGGAGTTTACAGCCAGGAAACCTGAAAGAAGAAGACTGGTCGCTTTAAGAAGGCTTAGTCTGGTCACTTTAAGAAGGCTTAGTCTGGTCACTTCCAGTTGTGACACAACCCCATAGATCAGTGATTCCTAAATTGTGCACCTCGGTGCACCACAAAATATTCCAAGATACACAAGTATTATTTGTTCTGATCTCTTACAATCGAATAGTCATACTTTTACTTAGGTTAGGGCGCCGTGAAATTTTTTTTATTAAAAAAAGGCTTCGCGATTAAGAACAGTGTGGGAAACACTGCCCATAGATGCTGAAAATATCACAATTTCTGCAGTGATCTGTTCTGGGTAGAAGAGTTGAAGGCTGGCAGCAAGAGGTAGACTTATAGTAGTACTCAGACTCACTGTGTGGGTCCTGGGACTCAATTGTGGGGGAGGGGGAGAATAGACCCACTGTACCCTAACAAGCATATCATAAAGGTCGACAAATTTGGGGAGTTTCCTTCATAGTCAGTAGGCATGCTGGGGAGGATCAGGACAGGCATGCTTCACAGCGGAGGAGTATTGTCTGGATGTTTTTTACCAGGAAACACCGGTGTGTTGGGAAATGAACAGGCGGGCAGACTGGCTGGCTCTGCACAACTTGGTGGAATACTGATTCATGATAAGGCAGACGTGGTTAGTGCCTTGTGGGAGAGCGTGTACAGTTCAGAGGAGCAGATGGATCACCACAGTCTAGTGAGATTGATACATGGGGGAGGGACAAAAGTTTTTGGCAGATGCTGGAGGCTCAGAGGAAAAGCAAGACGGACTTTTAATCATAATGCTACATTAGCATCGGAACTCTTCGCTTGCTGCTGAAGATGAGGATGGAGCACTTATGAGAATGCCCCAAGTGCTGGAATGTTGGTTCTTGAATCAACACTAATTACCTCTTTAAAGTCAGTACATCAAAACTATTGTATAGTCTTCACAGGGATTTGTAACAGACGTCAAAACCTATATATCTGTGTCTTGAGATGTAAGGGTTAATATAGATAATTGAATTGTATATACCATTTGCCATCTGAAGAAAGGCAATTCTTATTAAATTGATGATATATTTGTGACAGATGTTCAAGAAACTACACAATGCTTATGTGGACATGTTGTGTAATCCATTTTACAAGCCAGGAGAAAATATCACCTCTAAGTAAGTCAGTTTTGGTTACCATGAATTAGCTTTCCCCCCTCTCTTTTGGTAACCATGAATTATGGCTTTTTTCTTCTTACTTTTGGTAACCATGAATTATGGCTTTTTTCTTCTTACTTTTGGTAACCATGAATTATAGCTTCTTTTCTTGTCTAATTTGGTAACCATGAATTATAGCTTCTTTTCTTGTCTAATTTGGTAACCATGAATTATAGCTTCTTTTCTTGTCTAATTTGGTAACCATGAATTATAGCTTCTTTTCTTGTCTAATTTGGTAACCATGAATTATAGCTTCTTTTCTTGTCTAATTTGGTAACCATGAATTATAGCTTCTTTTCTTGTCTAATTTGGTAACCATGAATTATAGCTTCTTTTCTTGTCTAATTTGGTAACCATGAATTATAGCTTCTTTTCTTGTCTAATTTGGTAACCATGAATTATAGCTTCTTTTCTTGTCTAATTTGGTAACCATGAATTATAGCTTTTTCTTTCCCACTTGGTAACCATGAATTCTGGCTTTTCCCTCCTCACTCTTGGTAACCATGAATTATTGTTTTTTCCCCCTTTTGGTAACCATGAATTATGAAATCCCCCCCCCCCCCCCACTTCTAAAAACCATGAATTGTTTTCTTTTGGTGTCCTGCTACTTGTGCTAGAAGTGTCAGTCAGGCGGTAGATGTTTTTCTGGATGTTTGTGTAGCTTGAACTTCTTCTGCCTTCTATCCTCCTGTAGTATGATTTCTTGTTCTTCATCCATAGGCTGTGTCTGCGACAGACAGTCCTGGGTGACTGTCTGAACCTAGACCCTCTTCAATTAAAAAAAAACTGTCTCTGTGTGCTCCTCTCCCTGGAACAATCATCATGTGCCATGCCGATAATCACAGGCGATACAGAATAACACCATCCTGCACGATCAGCATTATCATGGATCAGATCAAAGCTCTTGACCCACTGCATGCATATGGCCAGGCCATCAAGATATTTATCTCTCCCACCCGCCTTTTGTCAAACAGAAAGATGCAGTATTTTCAGATGACATTTAGTCAAAGAAAAGCCTGGGTACTTTTACACTGCCTTGAGAGAATGTCATGTTGATGACGAATATTTTACCTCTAGCCGATCGTTGACTCTGATCAAAGAATAGATAGTGTGAGCAACTTCTGCCCCCAGGCTGTCCTTCCACACGGATTGGACAAGTATCGGGAAAGGTAATAGTAAACCACTGACTAAAACTGTCATTAGAAGTCATATTACGGAAAGAATCAACATAATTAGTAATAGTTTAACTCTATAATTTATTTTGTAAAGTTAAAGAAAAAACTATTTAAATTCAATCTGCTACACAGTATTAAAACAGGCATGAACAATTTATCAAATTGTTTGTGTCCTTTCTTTTAATTCTTGATTTTCTTAACTGCTGCCTTATTTTAGTTTTCTTAAACTTTCACTCAAAGCTCCTATAACCTCCCCACATCCCCAAAAATTTTACAGAGGCTGCTACATCCCTCCCACATTCAGAAACACTGGCGTAGACTTTGATGTTCCAGGGTTTCATTGCTGCGTGCATATTTGTTTTCCAGATTTTGATTACAGGAATATTGTTGGCACCTTTCCAGGCAAGACTATGCTTCTGAAAAGCAAATTGTTTATAGCCCACGAAGATGGACAGTCAAAGACAGGGAGAAAGTGTGCAGCAGGATCAGAAGAGCAGGACCTAGAGGAATAAAGGCAGACCAAAACCACAAACAGTGAACTTAAAAAGATGGAGAGGACATGTAGGAGCAAAGCTCTGGGCCTGTTCTCCATTGGCAGCTAAAGAATAAATAAATATCTTTTGATGGATTTTGTTCCATCTTTACTTAGCTGCCAAATCGATCCAATAGTTATTAGGAAATGACCTGGTAAATAACACAGCTGGCTTATATTGACTACATCAGGTTATGAATAAACATATGTGGCTAACTAAATATACCTAATACACCTCAATGATCTAAAACGTTTCCTTACATTATCCAGTGATCTCTTGTTATGGGCCATATACTGGAATGTGAGCTCGAGGTTTGGTTTTCTTAAATTTAAGTTGTCAGGTCTGCTGGGTGTGACCAAGTGTTTTACAGTACTTTCAGAAGTTCTAGGGTCAACATGAAAGCACCTAAATTATATTAGTTGAGTCTGCACTGTTTAGTGCGTAAGCCAAAGATTGTGAGTTGGTCTGTATAGTCAGGTTCGATTACATCTTTTTGGAGTTATAACCAGTGTTTGTTTTCCAGTCTGTTTCTGATTTGTGTGTGACTACTCCGTAGTAATACAGATGACAGCAGTCATCTTTAAAGATATATAATGATAAAAATTTTTTTAGCAGGAAGACTAACAATCTGCTGATCCCTATTTTCATGTGGTATTTGATGAACACTTGCAGTGAAGTGAACCATTTTAATATTTTATGACATGATTTCTTGCTCTTGTTTTTCAGAATGTTTGAGAATATCGTTTTGTCAATGCTGCAGCAAGATTGACAGAGAAAATAAATTTACATAAAACAATTTTGATGAATGTGCAGATTTTTCTGCGATCCTTCTGTTATAAAACACCAGGAGGCCTACGGATGAAAGCTATTATGGTGTCAAGATCTCTGAACCGTAGCTGTACATTTGAGATTAGAATATTTTCCTATTATTGTCGTTCACTGGTTTAGAATATCGCATAACATTCCATCAGATGTCATAATTTGATATTACCTGCAGGACTGAAAATGTTTAAACAATGAATAGACCCACTGAATCCCAACAAGCACACAAGTCCTGAAACAAAGCGAAAGTCCAGAAATGGACAAACAACCAGATCTTTTTCTCCATCGGCATTTACAGCAACAAACTAGTAATGAGACAATTTCCATGCGAAAACAGGTTTTGATTATTAGAGCATGATTATAGCTGCCAAAAAGAAATTGCAGCATTACCCTAGGTTCACAAAGTTCCATTAACTTGCCACCAGAAAACCACACATTCAAATAAAAATAAACAAGACCATTCAAAATGACTTCTGTCAGTGTTTAATGATAAAATGTACTCTGAGATGAAGTGAGTGGGTGTGTGCTGGAATGAAGAGAACAATTGTTACAATAACAACATGATCAGGATAAATGCTACCTTCAAATGTTTTAAACTCCTATTGCCATCACCATCCCAACCACACATTCCATCACAAAAACACCACAGTTGGCAATTGAAAACATCACGTGTCCACATTTGTAAAGGTCTATGACAAAGTTAAATAAGATACACACAGCCAAATCTCCACTACTGTTATACAGTGGTCCTTCTAAGCCGTACAAGTGTGCACCACCTCACAAACATGCTTACCATCAGCACATTGTGGTAGCTACCAGAAACATTTTCTAGAGCCTCCTCCCCCCCCCCTCTTAATTGGGCAATATGATGCTCCATAACTATTCAGACAAGTTGTTAGGAAAAGATGCTAACACTAGACAGGAGAAAATATACAGCAGAACATAAGGTAACCAGAATCCGTATCAGTGAAGGAGTAAAAGCTGACCCAGATTACAATCAGATAATGTACAGAATAAGGTTTTAAAAAAGCAAAAGAGAATTGAACAAGATTTACTGCAGACAATGACAGGACCAGCTGGCTAAGGAAGAAAAACCCAACTTTCAACAGTTAATGTGGCGAATACGACTTCACACTGAATAGGTCCTGCTGTCTAGCGGCCCTGCCTAAGGTCTAGGTCAATAACTCCCAGTACAGACAATATGGTAGCCCTGGTCAAATGCAGGCTTGCTCAGCTGGTCCCTGAAGAGACGAAGTATGTGCTGTCAACATTGCACGACTTAGAGGCAGCCCTGCCCAGGACTCCCAGTATATAACATTTCTAACCACATGTGTAAAGTGTACTTATTACCCACCACCAATCTATGACAGTTCCTCAACAGTCCACGCAAGCAACATCACAAGAGATCAGACAATCAAGCAAAATAAGAGACGACCTGACATCTCCAACCTGTAAATCCATATCAGGCAAAACTGGCTCTATTAAAATCACAATGTAATAATGGCTAATACATACACGGTGCCTACCTATCCTAAGCCTTTAAAAAAAAAAAGGAAATTATAATAACACACATGCTATAAAAGGTGGGCTGATATGATAATGACAAGAGATCCAACTTATCAATAGGCCTACAAATGACTTGGTCATGAGCTGAGGTGAAGTATGCAGCATGAGGGCAGGTGCCTCGTGTACCTAACAGCTTATAGCTGCATGGTGACAAACTGCAGGCAATAATATTTAGCTCCCAAAAATCTATCAAGGACTTGAACCCAGATTCAGACAACAAGAGCTTAGCACTCTAACGGCTCGGCCAGCCACTCTTTTGACAAGCCATGTTTTATTTGTGCAGTTACATACCAGCCACACATAAAATTGTATTGAAACGCTCATTAACATTTCACATCCCTGTGAATCAGGGAACAGGCAAGCTTTCTCCAATACACACACAATGTAAAAGATAAACCAGCATGAAACAAGCAACCTTTGATTTTAAAAACATAGTCTAGTCAATGATGCCTCACAACAATTATGCCATTCTAATAATAATTTTCTCCAATATGTTAACATTCAAGAATACAACATGGCACATTATCAGACCACAAAAAGAAATTGTCTGAAACAGAAACACGACAACGTTAGAAATTTTAAACACAGAAATATGATAAATATGAGCATTTGACAAACAGGCAGACACATCCATAAAGACAGAAGAGTTTGCTAAGTTTGTCTATTCCTCGCCGGCACCTTTGGATCTTAAGTTCCGTCGCTGTCTGGGAGATTGTTTCGGCGACCTCCTTGGGGATTTATCTGAAAGTTAAGAGTAACAAAAAATTGTTTATCTGCAGGTTAACAATAAAAACATCAGCAAGAAAGCAATACATTTATCCTGGACAGTAATGCTAACTGCAGGCTTCTTATCACTTTGGGTCATGAGTGCAGGGACTGACCAGCTGGTGCTGCAGAATCAGAAGTTCAACAAGTGATTCTTGACATTCCCGCCCAGGTGATGTGATTATCTATACTGATAGCTCTGTGTTGAGAGGCAGACAAAGCGCATAGGGGTTCATAGCAAAAGCGAATGAATGTCACTTAGTGAAAAAAAAGCATAGCATATGATATCATGTCTAGTTTGAGAATGGAGGTGAAGGCAGTCACTGCTGCCTTTCACTGACTTGAAAATCAGCTGTACACACATGTGATCGTCACTGACTCACAGAGCAGGTTGGAAAAGGCGGAGACAGGTATGCTCCATGCAGAGTGGCAAGCATCACTTAAGAAGTGCCGGGTAGTTTATATCCTTTGGATATTCTCCCCAAGTCATACCAGTGTGTTGGGAAAATGAGCAGGCAGATAAACTGGTCAGTTCTGCACCACTCGGCGGTGAAATGATGTAAGTCAAGCCAAACGTAGTGAGGGCCCTCTGGGAGCAAGTGAACAGCGCGGAAGCGCAAATATCAGTCTGAGGAGAGTGGCGCTGCAAGGAGTTACCAGGGTATATGGCCGACGCTCAACACTCAAGGGAAGGGCTAGATGGATATACAATCAGACAGTTACTGGTGCCATCGAAAATGTTTGCTGCTGAAGATTGTGACGGGGTGTCACGAGTGCTGTGATGTGGATGCTATTTTTAAGCAATAAAAAAAAAAAACAAGTCAAGCAGGGTCACTTTAAAATGGAACAAGTTAAACAAAGGGCTCATGAGTAAAGCTAAAGAAATTTCCTTTAATGTGTTTATCTGACACGTTATTAACCCTTCCTAACGGTTCTTGTCAAGGAACATTCTACAGATAACATGATATTGCTTCAAGCCATGTTCTGGTGTTCCACGTTTATATAGCAACTTTATTCCCATTTCCAGAACTAACCTATAAACTTATGCAGAGAAAAAGTAAATAAAGCCTATATACAGAAGAATTAGAGAAAACCTAGACAGAAGAATTAGAGAAAACCTACATACAAAAGAATCAGAGAAAACCTACATACAAAAGAATTAGAGAAAACCTACATACAAAGAATTAGAGAAAACCTACATACAAAAGAATTAGAGAAAACCTACATACAAAAGAATTAAAGAAAACCTACATACAAAAGAATTAGAGAAAACCTACATACAAAAGAATTAGAGAAAACCTACAGACAGAAGAATTAAAGAAAACCTACATACAAAAGAATCAGAGAAAACCTACAGACAGAAGAATTAGAGAAAACCATCAGAGAGAAGAATTAAAACCTATGCAAATAAGAATAATAAATACTGATGAAAATGGACATTGTTTGTGGAGGATAGTAATCAAGAACTATGCTGGAATTTCCTCCTCACTTTTCTTGAACCCCTGTTCTGATTTTAAGCATCACATATTAAAGAAATTTAATTAAACTCCCTGGAACAACACTTAAGATACCCAGAACGCTGACTGAATTATTACTACGCCCCAAATGATATCTCCAAAAAAAAAAAAGCCACCCAAAGGTATAGAAGCTATGAGGCAACTTACTCAATCCTTGAAGTGTTTCCTTTGGCAGCCAGTCATAATCTACATCTGAATTCTGGGTGCCCAGTTCTACAGTCTGGCGTGGCTTGGTCAGGTGCTTTCTCTATCAAAACAAAATAAGAGACGTGTTAGCCATCAGTCTGTCACAAATCTTCTCTATTAATATTTGGCCATGTACAATATCCACTGTTGGTCATGTACTTATGTCAGCTCAAGGTCTCCCAGTTTCCCCAAAGCTTAACTAGGTGTCACCACAGGCAGCTTAGCAGCTCCTTCAGGAGAGGACAGTCTTGCAAGACATGCCCTGGGGGTCTGTTCAGACACACTGCCTGCTAATTTATCACACATTAGTAACATGTTACTAATCTGTCATCATGTCGTCAGGTCAAACACCTGCATTGACTGCAAGACATAGAAGGTGGAGATAGATTGGGCACACTGAGACGAAATAAGCAAAGAATTACAAAATAAGCACCTAATTGAAAACAAACAGCTGCTGGAAATCAACAGTTGAATGTAATAGAGTGGAGTGAAAGGATCGAAGTGAGCCCTATGTGACGTCTAATGACACACAAAGTATGATGATGTATCTCTTAATAACGTGCACACATATAACGTACAGAAACGTAAAATGAATACTTTTATACAACAGTGAGCATTGAAAAATCAGCAAAGGTAGAAAAGAAAAGCAACAAAATACAGGACTTTGCAAACCAACCCCAGTATGTGTTGGCTGCTGCATGCGTTTCAACATGCAATTTTTATATTATATATAGTTTGCCACTGCTTTCTGAACTGAACATAACACTGACAATCAAATCAACGCACCAGTCTGGCTACAGAACTGCTTGCAGTGACCTCAAAACTCAGTATGTCAGGATTGTGAGACTGCATCCACAAGCTCTACACCATACAAAGACATTCACTATATCTAAAAATAACTTTTATGGACAAGGATCTTCACCTAAGGCATACATTTCTTAATTCAAACATGTCTGAAACATTCTACACACAACCTCAAATCAATCAATGCCGTGTTCTAGCATTCCATGTTGATATAGCAAGCCCTCAGGAAGACAAAACCAATGTAATGTGGTAGCATCTGCTGTTTTTCCTTGCAATTTTAATATAAATATTGGTTATTCTGAAGAAGAATAGTTTATATAACACTCAATGTGCCTGTAATTGTGTAGCTATGTTCCTAAATAATAAGGGGAATAGCATTATAACTGACACTGGCACTCAAGGAGTTAATCATAGTGAAAAGGCGAAACATGCAATAAGATCTAACAGCCTCTCTAAAACAATACTGCAGGGTTCCGTAGAGGGAAAGAGGAGAAGCAGCAGACCACGAAAGACCTGGTTACAGAACCTGACTGACTGGACAGGCCTCAGGCATGCAACCCCGAAGTCCATTACAACTGGCCGCCAAAGGTGGAGAGAGCTGATCAGACGACAAAAACTGGTGACCCAAAAACACGTAATGCTACGGGATGGTGAATTTCAGGGAAAGAAAAAACCCCTAGATGACTACTTACTTTGAATATACAATCTATACTTATTCCGTCTATAAAAATTGCAGGTTGAGGCCCCATTTCTGTGTGGACAAAAATAGCCCCACCCCCCTTCCCCAGCTGTAAATTAAGCATGCCAACTGCCTTCTTAATGGTGACTACACAAGAAGAACTATTAAAGACCATAAAGTTTCAACGGACCCAATTATAAATATACCTAATTGTTATGTCTGGAACATTCTACACACAACCAGAAATGGGTTCAAGCCATGTTCTAGCATCCCATGTTGATATAGCAAGCCCTCAGGAAGACAAAACCAAGGGGGTAGTGTCTGCTGTTTAACCTTGCGTTTCAAAAGCTCAAATATTTGTTATATTAACAAAGCATAAACTAAGAAATTTGAATTTAAAAAATACTTTACTGTCTACACTTATTTTAACACCGACCCCTAAAGATAGCTCACTTGACCTAACACAAGCTTCTCTCAGCTGTTATGTCTGTAACATTCTAAACACAATCTGAAAAGATTTCATGTCATGTTCTAGCATGCTGATATATAGCAAGCCCTCAGGAAGACAGAACCAATGTGCACTGAGAACCAAAATGTCTACTATATGAGGGATGGGAGTACACCACATGGTCGCTTAATATCTTCTCATAAAGTCTAAAAGATCATTTGAATAAAAGCAAACATTTCTGTTCTCGTATGTCAGGAACATTCTATACACAACCTCAAATCCTTCAAAGCCATGTTCTAGCATCCCATGTTGATATAGCAAGCCCTCAGGAAGACAAAACCAAGGGGGTAGTGTCTGCTGTTTTTCCTTGCGTTTCAAAAGCTCAAATATTTGTTATATTAACAAAGCACAAACTACAAAATTTAGAATTGAAAAATGCTTTACAGTCTACACTTATTGAAACTCCCACTCCTGAAGACAGGAAAGAAAGCTCACTTGACCTAACACAAGCTTCTCTTTACTGTTATCATGCCTAGAACATTTTAAACACAATCTGAAAATGTTCCAAGTCATGTTCTAGCATCCCACCTCAGAAGGACAGAACCAAAATGTCTATTATATGAGGGATGGGGAAAACACAACATGGTTGCTTAATACCTTCTCATAAAGTCTAAAAGCTCATTTAAATAAGAGCAAACATTTCTATTCTATTATGTCTGGAACATTCTACACACAACCTGAAATCCTTCAAAGCCGTGTTCTAGCATCCCATGTTGATATAGCAAGCCCTCAGGAAGACAAAACCAAGGGGGTTTTGTGTCTGCTGTTTTTCCTTGCAACCAAAATGCCTCTACTAACAAGTAACAGTCAATGTAAAACAAGGATAACTTGACTCTTCTAATATTCTCAACCATGACTTCAAACCTAATGAGCAGGTATAAAAGACAAACATGCATGCATCTGCTGAACAAGAAAATGCTCCCACAATGTCATGTGTCTGGAACATTCTACACACAACCAGAAATGGTTTCAAGTCATGTTCTAGCATCCCATGCTGATATAGCAAGCCCTCAGGAAGACAAAACCAAGGGGGTAGTGTCTGCTGTTTTTCCTTGCATGTGACCTTGTACTTAATTGAGGTTTGTAATCATAGTTAATGGAAAAGAACGAGAACTGATAACTATCAGGGTATTTACAGCGTCACTTTAATCAAAACAAACACAATGTTATTAAAGAATATTGAGAAGAAAGGATGCAAATTACAAAAGTACTAAGTTGTTTTAGAAAATATAGCAATAGTAAAGGTTTAAAGCCAAGAAAAGGTTAGCGCAGTCAATAGAAGACTAACTTTCAAACCCAGCAGCAACTCGCTGCAGCCAACGACTGGTGTTCACCCAGCCTCTAGGTAATGGGCGCATAGAATCTGGTCACCCTGAGCTAACAGCCAAGCATTTATTGCGATGTAGTGCACAAGTAAGAAACACCACAGACCTTGCAAGTAATGATCATAAGGAATCGCAACAGGAACCAAATGACAATCTGTCAGAACGTAGGGTAAAAGGCTTCATTTCTCAGCCACAGATACTCAAAAAAGTGAGACAAAAAACAGAGAGATATAGAACAAGACAAGACACAAATTTAAAGATACAGAGCCAGAAAAATGAAAACCACAACAAACGAGAATCTTCAATTTTACAGACGCAAAACATATCTTTTGTTTACCATACACTACAATGTTTGGTTGATTATCAACGTGCCTAAACTATCAACATGTCTGGAACATTCTACACACAACTTGAAAAGATTTCATGCCGTGTTCTAGCATCCCATGTTGATATAGCAAGCCCTCAGGAAGACAAAACCAATGTATGGTGGTAGTGTCTGCTGATTTTCCTTGCAGTTGAACAAACTAAATCAACAAAGGGAAAGAGGTACTCACCCCAAAACTGGTGACTATTTGATGTGCTCCAACAAGCAATAAAATCACAATGGCCACCAGGAAGATGTACAAGAAGAAGCTGAAAAACAAGTGGGAATTAAAAATCTGAACAAGCAAATGATAATATCACACAGCCCTAACCAAAACATTGGTATTACCTAAGCTTCACATACCACTCACTTTCTGTCAGCTTTGTATCATGGCTTATATGTGTCATGAAATGACAAAGTGTAGAGATAGAAGGCTGAGGAAGGATATGACAACCAATGCATCAAGTAAGGCAGTTTACAAAAAAGAAAAAAAAAAGATTCAACAAAATATGCTAGGCAACAAATAAAAGTGGGTAATTTATGGCATGTGTCTTCTATGTTCAAAGAAGAACTCTGTTCGAAGGTCTTTATCCTGTGTCCCAAACAAAACTAAGATACAGGTCAAACAGATTTCACAATTCATGTAGCAAGCATGTCAATCAATGCGACCAAAAGCTCACACCGTAGTTTCTCATGCTTGCTTTAGCTGTTGGCAGTTCAGCTTTACAATAATAAAGTAGAATTTCAGCCATCAGCAAGCAGAAGGTAATACAACTATGATTAAGTACGATCCAAACCACCAATGTTACATGAATTGGTAACAATGATCAATTGTTTTTGCCACCATTGAAAAATTACACCTCACGGTGGTACGTAGTGTTCCTTTCACCCAAACAATGTTACACAAATGACACTTTCCAGTGGTAGTTTTTGTAAGTGTCCAATGTTACACAAATGACACCTCCCAATGGTTGCTTCTGTGTTGTGTCCAATGTTACACATCAAACACTGTTACACAAAAGAGACAAGTACTGTTTCATCCAACACTGTTACATAAATGAGACATTAGTAGTGTTTCATCCAACACTGTTATATAAATGAGACATTAGTAGTGTTTCATCCAACACTGTTACATAAAGAAGACCGCACACTGATCAAGTAGTGTTCAAGTCATCAATGCTGCATGAATGGCATGTTAACATGGCAAGATGTGGACTTACCTAGATTATATATTTTTACTGAACAGGTTATTTCCTCATTTATTTTCAACTGTGTCAATCTATGACCTGTGCTAAAATCCGGTGGAATGTTAAACTACTCAGGGGCCAAGATTTTGAAAATAGGGGTTGTCGGGGACCAGAGCCTCAGTGTAGAAAGATCTTTAATACAACTGCCCAGGGTCCAGAGGTCACTTGCTAGGTCTTCGCGGGCCACCAGTATAACAGCCATAGCCTACACAGTAGCACTCAATGTGAATTTAGGAGATGAGTGCATGCAAACCCAAGTTAACAATACATGACTGGTATAGAATAAGAACAAATAAATGTGACTGGAGCAAAATGCAGACACTAGAACTAAAGGAAAACCGCTGTAGGTTGATTCTACCAAGACATTATCTAGTACCCATATAAGGGTGGGTCAAAATGAATAAGGTAAAAACCTAGAGAAATTCAATAGGAAGAAGTGAAGACAGAAACCAAGATGTCACGTGAGGATGCCAGTCATCTTAAACTTTAAACTACTACTGTCTGAAGATCTTTATCCCATGCAGCAACAAAATCTAAGCACAGGTCAAACAGACTTCAAACTTCATGTCGCAAGCATATCAATAAATGTGAGCACAGACTCACACTTGGTTAGAAATACTTGCAGCCAAACAAATATAGGCTGTTTGGTCATTCACAATCATGTCATTCATAATGCAAAAACACAAAAAAGGGTCACAATAATATAGCACAAACAGAGCTGGGCAGAAAGTTATGCAGAGATGTCAACTACATTACAGTTCCAAAGCTGGGATGAATGTAGGTAGCAATGATGCTCCCTCAGAGGATTGTATAAGTTTTGCCATGTAGAAAACAAGCCACACTTGTCCTCTTGACAGAGACCACACTACAAATGAAGAGGTTAGCCATAATATTTTACAGTACTTTGACAACTATGAAACCCTTTTAATTACAGTGAAAAGGCAAAAAATACAATGGTATGGACATGTAATAAGATCTAACGGCCTCTCAAAAACAATACTGCAGGGTTCAGTAGAGGAAAAGAGGAGGACCAAGAAAGACCTGGTTACAGAACCTGACTGACTGGACAGGCCTCAGGCATGCAACCATGTGAAGTCCATCGCAGCTGACCACCAAAGGTGAAGTCAACAGTAGCTGGTGACCCAACGACAGGTAGTTGTTGCAGGATGATGATGATGAACTATAGACTTGCCCATGTTGCTCAAAACAGAAGCTTGCAGTGTGAAGTTCTCAGGAAGAATGTAGGCCCTTTTCATTAAAAAAAACCCAGTTGAGATCAGGAAACAAACAAATGCCTATTTTAATAAATGAAAAAACAAAACCCAGTTGAGATCAGGAAACAAACAAATGCCTGTTTTAATATATGAAAAACAAAACCCAGTTGAGATCAGGAAACAAACAAATGCCTATTTTAATAAATGAAAAAACAAAACCCAGTTGAGATCAGGAAACAATGCCAATTATAAGAGCTAATGGACAGCATGGCAACCTCTGAAGTATTCAGTGTTAAAACTGTTTTACAGCAGTATGTTAACTCACAAACATAGTTAACACTACCTAACATACTCAGAATGAACATAGGATTCAACAAAAGTAAATGAAAATGTCATACGTTTCTCCATCCAGGCCCTCGTCTGGCTCCACCACCTGAATGGTTTCATTAAAGACTGAACTTTGGAAAACTGTGCCTTCCTGCAGACAAAAGATCCAACACAAATATTAAAAGTGTAATACAGCTTTCTTTGCACTATATATATATATATATATATATATATATATATATATATATATATATATATGTATGTACATACACACACACACACTGCATATTGTATTCTTGTTTTAAAAGTGTATGGAAAATTCTACACACAACTTCAAATCATTCAAAGCCGTGTTCTAGCATTCCACGTTTATATAGCAAGCCCTCAGGAAGACAAAACCAATAAACTGGTAGAGTCTGCTGTTTTTCCTTGCACTGAACTTGTCCCCACCTACTGGCTGTTCCATACAAAGATTACTTATTCAAAAGTGTGTCTGAGTGGCTCCCATTGTGGGAGCCCAGGCCCCATTTTGGGAGAAAACACTCGCACAAACAACCCCCAGCATGCCATAATTGGAAATTAATCAGAAAAAAATGTACTGAAATCTAAAGTGTTAGACCGTAAATATACGCCCTAGCTGTAAATCTCTCAATTCAAGGTGCCAGACACAAAAGCTTTTGAAAAAACCTAGCGCAGAAAGTGTTTAAAGTATCGAACTGAATAAAGTAGAAAAACAAAAGAACAGCAGATCAGATGTTGAGATGTATAAAATAAAAATAAATAAAAAACAGATTTGGCTGGAACCGAAAGAATAATCAAAATTACTAATAATTAACATGTACCTGTACAAGAATAAAACAATTCAATCACAAGACAAAAATCACTAACGTAGAGCTGTTGGAGAGAATTAAAGAGGCTGAGAAGAACAATATAACCAAAGCGTTGTCACAAAGTACAAACAAGACAAAGGACATTAAGAATGCTGACATCATAGCACTCGGTACACTCCCTAAGTGCTCCATCCCCATCTTCAGCAACAAACGAAGAGTTACAAATCTGACGGCACCAGTAACTGTTTGTTGAGCATTGGTAACTCCTTGCAGCACTTTTCTCTTTAGACAATAATGATCTATCTGTGCATTCGCACTGTTCACTGGCTCTTAAAGGGCCCTCACAACACACTAACAAGCGAGAGAAGCACAAGACTGCAAACCAAAGAAGGATGCAATGGCTTAAACAGGTCTGAGGGAAGATGAAGAGCAAAAGAACATATCCACACACAAAATGTATGTAAAAAAAAAAAGCTATAAACATTCACAGTTCACATACACAAAATACATACAGAATCTTTGTAGCTCAGCGAGATGGTCAGCCCAAAAGGACGGGCGCTGAATGCCTCACTGGGGACAAAGCCGTACTCAAAGGTGGCCTGTCTGTGGGGCTGAATCACCGTGTTGTAGGTCACTGAAGTGAACTGAAACACGCAAGTACAACAATCAGCCATGTACAATCTGCATAGATCCAGACAGAAAAACAATGGAGATTTGGATTTTAGCACCAGCATTATATCCAGAAAACAAATTTAAAAAAAACATTAGATGTAAAGAACAAACCAACATGACCAGGCTAAAATGTATGCACCGACGTGCATTTATGGGAAGGAAGGGGGAGCAGCGCCCAACAATGAAACCACAATAAATAGAGACAAATCAGAAGCAGTTACATGTTGGTTATGCAACAGATAGCTGAAGTTGAGAAAAGTAAAAAAAACAATAGATATGGCCCACCAGAATATTCTCAACAGCATGCACAAATTAGTGACAACTAGAGAGATAAACAACATATTGAAAATTAGAATTGTCCAATGCAATTTTAGTGATGTGGAATCACCAAAGAAGAAGACTTCCCACCTGTCTGTCTTCTCTGTGGTCTGGGGGTTTGACCCCCCCCCCCCCCCCCCCTCAGGATATGTATAAAAACTGAAAAAAATTTCTGCTGATGCTGCTTCTAGTTTCATAGGATAGAGTTTCAGAGAACATGATTTTAAAATGAGTTTGGAAAACTATGTAAGCTAGTGGGTCTGCATTCGCATTCACCAGCTGCAAAATCTGGTGAAAAGTTCTGGCTGTTCATCAACTTCTCGACTGCAGTCCTGTTCTAGAACCTGAGTTGCGTGTGCATCCGTTTTACAAATCTGACTTATTTGTGTGCAGACTGCTGGTTCCTTGTCTCTCAGGCAGATGCACTCCGACTTCGAAGGAAGGTCCCCAATTAGTCGACTCTTACGACATGCTTTTTGGTAGGCAATGGGTCTTTTTTTGTTTTCCCTACAATAGGGTCCTGGAACCCACAAGGGGATAGAAAGGCTTCAGTGTCCTATACCCACAGCTATTTGCAGTGAACAGATCCAGAAAACACAAGATACATTAAAGACAGCAGAGAAATCACAGCAGCACTCACATTCTGTAGGAAATAGCTGTAGTCCTGTGGGTATCTCAGCGAGGCCTCTAGGGTGTCCACAAAGAAATCCAAGTTGCCTTTGTTAGTGAACCCAATGAGTATTCTCACTGGCTTCCCTGCTGGCAACTCTGGAAAGACAAAGCACCACAAAAATGTTGAATAGTCAACATGTCAGGCAATGTGACCAAGAACCAGTCTATTTTATCAGTGCTTTAATGTAGTGAATCTTTAGGAACCCCACAAATATACAATATCAACTCCATACCATAAGTACTCACTAAAACACTGATAAAATAGATTTGTTTTAAATTATCTTTTCACGACTGAAACTTCAACAGTTTCATCTGAAAGAACTTCCAGCTGGCCCCCCCCCCCCTTTGTAGACTGTTCCAGCCCTCGGCTTGTCACATTTCATTTGTCTCTTGGCCACTTCCTGTCTCTACTGCCCTGTGAGTTAAGTGTTTTTCAAACGAGGTTGAGCCCTTGTTCTCAAAACAGGTTTCAAAGACATTTTGACCTGCAGTGCTCTATGAAGTTGTTACGCAGCACTGTCAATATCCATGAATGCAAATCAAGGCTCTGTACTAGCAACGGGTGAATAGCTAGGGATTTCCCCTTAAATTTCAGAGTAGAGCAGCCTGACAGGTGACGTACCAACAGTCTGCATGCAAATAAGCCAGATCTGTATAATAGATGTGCATGCAATAAGTTATGGAACAAGGCCAAAGTCCCACGCCTGCGTTTATAGCCGGTAAACAAACACAAAGGCCACGATGTAAACACAAAGACGATGACCCAAGATTACCATAACATGATGTTACCTAATGGATTGTTTGGCTTTGTAAACAGGATGAAAGTGTCTGCATCCGGGGATGGCTTTATCGTGGCTTGCTCTTCTTCAGTTTCTTCTCCAGCTTCCTAGAAACAGAAAATGTTACAGGCATCAATGGTCAAAACAAAAGCAAAACTTCATATGATCACAACAGAGATGAGACAAGCAGTGAATATTAGAAGATTGCTGCATTCTATGGAATAATACACTATCAATAAAGTTAAACTGAGTTACCTGAAAATAGTTAAATATGTCCTGCACTAGGAAAAGCTACAACAGTCTTTAAGTCATAAACACAGCATTCAGCTAAGGAGATTAAAACTGGCAACGGTAAACCACCCCCCCCCCCCCTTTAACAACACTGAAACTGGGCATATCACACTAGACTCACACTATCAGAATGTGACTGGTGATACAGTTAACATCATACCAGCCACCCTGATTTTCCAGGCCTGGTACTCTACTTTAGGCTCAGCCACTAATCTGGAAGTCTCGATTATTCTTTTCACCCCCCCCCCCAAAAAATTATTTGGTAGGACCCAAAGTGGAATCAAACCTAAGACCATTGGTATAACTGCTGTCATCATGTCTATTTGTTTGTTTGGTCAGATCTGCTTGGTTGTGTATGTTTTTCATATCTGCCTGGTTGCATATACTTTACACTTTAAAGACATTGCCAATGTGACACCATTTCTGATGGTTACTTTATGTTTTTCATGTCTCAGTGGTTGTGTATGTTTTTCATATCTGCCTGGTTGTGTATGTTTTTCATATCTGCCTGGTATGGCATTATATTCCAAGGTTCCTAACTAGAAGCCCTAATGAACGCACGATGCGTTGATTTTTATGTTTCTTTTGACTACCTCTTAGGTCTTAGGCCTCTGTTGCTAAACAACCTAGGACTCAGGAGTTAACATCATCTTCTTAGTGGTTGTGGTCTGTATAAATCTCCCTTGGGTTGTATGTTTAATAAATCTGCTTCGCAAGGCCTGTTTGGTCATTTCTGCCTGGTTGTGTCTGTCCATATCTTCCTTGTTTGTATGTTTGTTCATATCTCATATCCCTTGTTTGTGTGTTTGGTCATATCTGCCTGGTTGTGTCTGGTCATATCTACCTGGTTATGTATGTTTGGTCATATCTGCCTGGTTTTGTATGTTGGTCATATCTGCCTGGTTGTGTATGTTGGTCATATCTGCCTGGTTGTGTATGTAGCGACTACAGTTTCAACAAATTGCGGTCTTTTTGGCAATTTTCGTTACCATGGAAACCGTTTGAAACTTGTTTGGGAAATTTCGGCTGGGGTTTCGGGATGGGTCTCTCATGAAATTTTGCGATTGGTGTGATTTTCACCAGCTATGAATAGCCGAAAATGGCAGGAACAAACCCGATTAACAGCGCATGTCTACGACAGCCGGACGTCCTCTGTTTTTCTGTTGCATGAGTTTGATTGAAAATAGCGCCAAGTATTCACGGTTGGCTTTAAGGTCTTAATAATTACCAGACATGGTAATGCTAGTTATAGTTGAATTCACGGTCCAATTTTACATTTGTGTATAAAATTTCTTTCTTGTCTGTGGCTGTTTAGACGAACAGTGACATTTTTCATGCAATCGCTATTATGTGGCTGTGTCTGAGAAAAATTGTCTGCCACATTGTCCAATGAAAACAAAGCCAAAACGAAAGTTGCGCAGTTTGGTTGCGCAGAAATGACACACAACCCTAAATGACGTACCGTTGGAAAGAGATTGTTTACAGCTATCTAACTGTGCTGGTTTTATTAGTGTTGAGGGCATTTTAAAAATTTGACTAAAGTACCTATAAAAAAGCAAACTAAAAGATCATGCAAAAATTGAAATATTAGGAATTAAGACAAGAACAATCTTGGAGAAATGGAAATCAACTAAGTTACAAACAAACAGAACTCTGATCATCGTTAAGTATTGACTGTATTACTATTATAATACACTAATAGTGTGTTTTGAAGAGGGAAATGGTCCCGAATTTGAATCTTCCGACAATATTTCGTTGGGGGATAGGGCTAGGGGAAAACAGAAGAGGGTGATGCATTTGTGTTGACATTCAGAAAACTATCATTACAACCCAACCAAACGTTCATACTAGGGACAAGCAAATATCTTCATATGATATTAATCATTATAGATACTGAACAATAAGCGTGACCACTTCAAGTAAATGTGCACTCTCTCTTCATAACAACGTATCCAGCGGCCTAACAAATGTTGCCACGTAGATTATCTGAAATGGCAATACATGTTAATGGCTGGCAAAAAAATACCTTGTTCAAAAAACAGCACAGTTGTTGGCATCACAAGAAGCAGCAGAATTATAAAATTTCTTAAAATTCGAGACATCTTGATGCCTTTAAAACTGAACGTTGATTATTACGGATTGTTTGCAGCATCAATTTACAGCCCAGCCATTACACACTGAACCGGAACACCAAAAAGAACCGGATGTGGACACGAAACAGGTTGCCGGCGGAAGTTGATGGAGATGTTGAACCAACTTATGTGCGGCCGATATAATCACACGTCAGTATACACAATTTTATACGATTGAATGGGATATCTTGTCTTTAATTCTGTTAGATTGGCATCGTTGAGTCAGAGGAAAATGGGTGAGCCTGACCTCTTATCCAGATACACTCTTATTCCGAGGTTCAACTGGATGTTTCCTTTTCTTGGCCCACTTCTCTTTTCAGTGATTGCGAGACAGAGATGCCTAAACCTGTCTGCCTCCTTAGTCCTTCTGGGTTCTTTTCTGTTAAGTCACTATATCACAAGATTTAGGGACATCCCATAGTATGGGATGGGGGTTTCAGGTTAGTAGTAGTCCCTATTCATTTAACACTAGTTCCCCCCCCCCCCTCTCTCTCTCTCTCTCTCTCTCTCTCTCTCTCTCTCTCTTGTACCCCACCAGGACATCACACATCCGGTGACACAAAGTTCCACCCTGCGGATGAGGATCACCCATAAAAATGTCCCAATAACTCCTTTCAGCCGTAATGGCCATTTTTATTACCCGGCTATATTCAGGACCCCGCAAAAGCCAGGGTGGCGCTTAACACTAGCACTAACCCCCCCCCCCTCCTTTTTTTTGTTAATACTATGGGATTTTTATAAATCTTGCGTGATGTGGTGACCTAACAGAAGAGAACAAGTAACCGGTTGTTTGGAATGTGACAAAATGGATGGAGGTTTTAACAATTTGAACAATTGTTTTTAGTATGACTACCTGATTTAAGAAACCGATGACGATGAAGAATCAGTTCTTAACCAGAACCTACAGAAAGAGGTTGTTACGTATCCTTAACAGGACGTTGCAGAACCAACCCCAACAGCCCTTGGCTGTTGTGTGGTTTTTCTAGGCAAATTTACGTACAATAGTTTGTCATTGCTCTGTGGACGGTCGGCTTTCTTGATACCACTGTCGAAGCCAACGCAAGGTGCATGGCCCGCAGCTGGGATCGAACCCGGCATTACGAAGCATTCGCATCGACTTAGCCACAGAGCCGACAACCTACAAGCCAATGAGAAACAGAAACAATGTTCCCAAAGAACATCGACTACTTTGAAATGCAGGAGGTGACAAATGCAAAACAGATCCTACTTCTGCGTAAGATACAGAACAATTGTAAGTTTAAAGGTTTAGGTTTAAACAACGGATCAGCAAAATGGCACAAGGGTAGTAACCTGTAAGGGCTCCGTTCTACTTCTAACTCAAGTCTGAGTGCGAAGAATCTCAGCGCAGTGCATGAACTCCCTAGCACCGGCGAGGATCCTGAAATAATTTGGGTAGATTTTTTAACTCCTAATTTAGCCCAGGCCGAGCCGTTTGGCTACTCTTTTCAATTTCCTGCCCAGAGATTATTTACACGCGCAACAATACACACGGGCATCCGATCTTAATACCAAGAGACCAGGGAAGATTACTAGAAGTCCACGTGAAAAAATCCTAGCCGTCACCGGGGCCTGAACCAGGGGCCTCAGCACTCCTGCCTTGAGACCACGCAGGGTACATCTTCTTCTTCTTCTTCTCTTCCACCTTGTACCTCATCAAAGTGTCGGGGGGAGATGTAATGTACGTTGATGAGCTCTGACAAGAGCACTATTTGGACTGATGTTCATTTCTGTAAGGCTGTTCTTAATGCCATCACTCCATATTTTCCGAGGTCTTCCACTCGCTCTATACCCGTTGTAACGTTTTAGTGTGGCTCGCAGTGGCAGATAGTACCAGGGCATTCTTGTTAGGTGTCCAAACCACTTCATTTGTTGTTCTTTGATGACCTGTAAGACTGGCTTTATTCCTAGCATCCGACTGATTTTATGATTTCGTATTCTGTCTTTCCTTGAAACTCCTGCAGCTCTTCTAAGGCATTTCATCTCTGTTGTCACAATTTTACGTTCATTGGAAGATGTAAGTGTCCACGTTTAGCATTGATAGAATAGTGTTGGCACATCGCTTGCTGAAAATGCGAGCTTCAAATCCCTATTAGCAGATGACAGATTATTTTATATTAACGTAGGTTTAAAGTATAACAATAGTTTCAATTAAACAATTAATTCTTATGTTCGTTTCAAGCCTGCAGTGAAATCACGTTACTGTACATTTGTATTAACTTATTTCGATTATCCGTCTAGTCGGTTATCCGTCACAGCACTGGTCGGGACGGTGACGGTTAATTATTATATTAGGGCCCCCGACAACAACCTGAGTGGAGCGTGGCGCTCCCGTACACCACGGCCTTCTCTATATTTATTAGAGAAGGCAGTGCTGTACACATACGCACGCTGAAGTCTCCCTTGTTCTTTTTCTCAATCTCTCTTTCCCCCCCCCCCCCCATTTTTCACGATTGCAGTCCGAAAGAGTCTAATAACACCCAGTGACTCAAAAAAGTTACTACTGGAATCAAACGAGCCCAAATCCCATACACACCATTTATCTGTACAACACAAATATACCGCGACAGCCAACGGTTACAAAGTCAACTGCTGGGCCATGTGGCTGGGCTAGGTCTGCGGGTGTTGTTCTTCTACACTGCTTTTTTGCTTGTTGTACCTCACTAGAACATCACACATGCGATAAACACCCGGAAACACAAAGTGCCACCATGCGGATGAGGATCACCCGTGGAGAGGTCCCAGAAACCTCTTTCAGTCGTTTGGCCACTATCGAAAAATTGCATTCCACAAAGGAATGCCAAGATAACATACATCCGACTGTAGCAAACTTGTAACAGTGGTATTTTACATACTTGTTTAGAGCAGTTGTATATTTCACCACCCCTCACCCCTACCCAGCCCCTCACCGGGGCTTCTGACTGACTTTCTACCCCACCAGGACATCACACAAGCGATAAACACCCGATGACACAAAGTGCCACCATGTGGATGAGGATCGCCGTGGAGAGGTCCCAGAAACCACGTTTAGACAATTGGCCAAATTTATGGCCTGCCTATATTGCGGCCCCTGGCAAAAGCTAGGGTGGGGCTTCTAATAACAAAAAATTTCGTTCTAAGAAGGACGAAACTAGATTTTCCTTCTCCCTTTTTATTGCTGAGACCCGTAACTACACGAGGAAAAAAGATCGTGTGGAAAAGAAAGCACAAGGGAGGTAAATATTATGTCTTTACTATTATATATAACTTGTGTCCCTTTCATTTAGTCAACATTCACTAAGATCGTCCCCATGTGGGACGCAATTTTTTTTTTAATTTTGAAGCCCCACCCTGGCTGTTGCTGGAAGTCGCAATATAGCCTGAAGGTTGAACGCGATTTATGGGACCTATCCACGGATGATCCGCGTCCACATGGTGGTACTTTGTGTCACCCGGTGTTTATCGCTGTGTCATGTCCTGGTGGGGTAAAATTTACTTACATTTAGTTTTCTGCACCGCAAACTTGCCTTATCCTACCCCACCCCCCATTTTTCACAACCTTCCTGTTGTGTCCATTGTTTGGTCTATCACAATCATAGGCTTCAGACCCACAGGACTGCAGGTAACACCAGGTTGGTGTTGCCGTTACGAATGTTCTAATTAAACATCTGTGGAGGTTGAACAAGATAGCTGGTATCTGTCTTTTTGGTCTGTCATCCCGATTGAGAATTTTTAAACCTCAGGATGGTATGGTAAACCTTTAGGTAGGAGCCGGCAGGAGACACATCGACCTCTAAGAGAACTGGACCACACCAGACCCAAAAACCACAAGCACCACACCGCAGCAAGGAAGCAAAGAACCGGAATGTCAGGTGTGACGACACACCACAAAAAAAAAAGGAAATTCAATAAGACAGCCATTGAAACTTCCTTCATATAGTAGGCCTCCGGGCGGCTGAAAAAAGGATCAAATTTGGAATTTTTGTTGGACAACTGGAATTGGAAATTGGACACATTGACCTCAACGTGTGTCCTATCCTATACCAGCGTATTTTCTTCACCTCTTGGTTATAATTAGGACGCAAGTGACAGCTACACGAAGTGGGATACTTTGCAATTCTTTGCGGCTAAGAGGTGTGTTCTTATATTCATCAAAAAGTGTAACATTTCATTTAGTTCTAAATCAATGTATCAGCTCAACAGCATGGCCCCGTTGTAAACACCTTATTGAAAGTCCCAGATTTTGACAATGGTATCCATAGCTGATAGATCATAGCAGTGGTAAACTACTGAAGGTAAAATCGCTTAATACAATCTCAGACACAAATGTCCAGGACTGGTTCCACAACGTCCTGTAAAGCGGTATCTCATTCTGTTTACATCTGCGGCTCCCACGAAACAGGACGAATTTTTCGCTAGATCAAATGTATCAAGCTGTTTATTTGTTAAATCCGATGTCACACACTAACTATTTTCAGCTAATGAGACTTCTGCTAATATTTAGAGGTTCAACAGCCCGGCTCTCTAGCGTAGTTGGCTAAACCGGATTGCGCGGTGACCGCGTGACGGTCCAGGTTCACTCCCGGGGTAGGCAGAAAAACCACATTTCTCCCAGATTTACGGTATTTACAATGGAATCGAGGCCGAAAGGTTGCGATGTCCATAATACCGAGCCTAAGGGTTAACATGGCTTCTGGATACTAAAAAAAAAAAAAAAAGGTTAAACAATCTGTATACTTGCTTTGCTTCTGATAGACGAAAAGCTGCAGTAATTTCTGTTCGATTTCTCTGTCATTTGAGGTCTCTGTTATTACCCTTTTTACTGTGAACAAAGATTTGTAAAGTCAAACCAAGTAACACCTTTATGCTGACACCTAGGGATGGTGCAGAGTCTGACTGTATGGATGGTCTAATGGTTGAACGCGGTTTCTGGGACCTCTCCATGGGTGATCCTCATCCACATGATGGCACTT